CTGTAATTAGAAGATTTAGCTCTTGCATAATGTCTGTTTAATGAATGGAAATTATAGGTACCAATCATAATCATACACAACATATCAACTTTTTCTCCTTGTCCGGGGGGGGGGGGTGATGGCCGAAGGGTTAGCAGGTTCGCGCTGTATCATAAGGCCTGTCATTGAGACAACTGGTGTGGTTTCCAATCCCTGAATAGGATCGTCTGTCCAACCTAGCTCGTGGGTTTTCTCCTGGTCCTCCGGTTTCCTCCCACTGCTAAAGACCCCTACGCGCAAGCGGACTATTGAAATAAAATTAAACCATATGTTAGTCCCGAAATGACCTAGTTTGTGTCGAGTGGATGTTAAACCACATCTCTCTCTCTCTCTCTCTCTCTCTCCTTGTCAGTGGTCCAAGCCAGAGGACCTGGCAAGGAACATTGTCTAGTTGTTCGGAGACGGATTGGCATGGAAGTATGTAAAAGAATCTATCATAGGCTGTAGGACTGCTCTTTGTTTCAAAATTTCCATCATAGCAAACTGTATTGTGTATATGCCTGTCTTAATTAGCCAAGTTGGTGCAGAAAGGTACGTAGGATGTCAATTCAGCTTTCTCTTTAATTCCCAACCAGCCACGTAATATTGTTTCTGATGTCATTTTAATGGATTGCCATGGAAAGGAAGGAAGGAATGATCATATACATGTAATAGAAGAATGATCATCAATATTAGATACTTCTTGGCCAGTGCACAAAAGGCAATAAATTATTTAGTACAAATATGACGTCCACAATCTTATGACATCATTAATTTATATAAAGTTGTACAGTATAATAATAAAAGCAGTGTGGTTATACTTAAAGTAGCTAAGTCACTAACTCAATATCATCCAAAGTCTTCGACATTGAAAACACAAATTATTTGCAAATTTAAATCAACATTGCTGTTGTGATCTTACAGGGAAAAGATGGGCTTCTGATATCCAATATTTAAGGCAAAATAAACATTTTACCATTGGTACACGAATCATGTACCATAATGCGTTTCAGCGCCGTTTGTAACAAGGGACTTGAAGAATGAGGCTAGACATATTCCACAAGTCATGTCAAACTGTGACGCCATATTCTTATTTGGAGAGCATGCTCAATAAATACGATCGGTGTAGACTGGCAAAACCAGATGCTAGGGATTGCCATTCGATTGATACTTCTGGCATATTTCGCCGAACATAACTGATTAGAATTTACAGTAAAAACTGAAAGCATTGAATATAAATCAGTTTACATACATTCATATTACATTATTATATGCATTGCAACCCATTTGTGTCAATTTCTAGGTCCCAAATATTAGCGATTTAGTTCCTTTAACTGTTGTTGATTTTTGCTTTGTGGTATAATCAACTTTAAAAAATATATTCTTTGCTTGTACTGTTAAAGCTATCATCCATTCTACATGAAGACTTCATTCTTTATTTTTTTTTTGCAATATTAAGAAAATTTACTTTTTTTGCATTATTAAACATACATTATGCAATAGCTAAATCTGCCTATTGCAGGTCTTTCTTTAGGCCTGAAATGTAGTCTAAATTATTAGACATTGATTCACTCATCCAGACCATAATCAACTCTTGATGCCATTGCTAGCCTGCGATATTTAGCAGATTGGAATACATTTTTTGAAAAATAATGTAAAAATGGATAATCAAGACTTTGTTTTTTTTTATCCTACTGACTTTATTAATGATGATCGAGACTAGTCTAAAGTTCAAAAGCTAATATCTCGGTTCAGAGTGGAGTAATTTGACTTAAATTTTCTGCATATTCTATTTACATTATCTATTTCTTTAACTATTATAGCGAGAAATGTCAACTCTTTATCTAAGTTTCCCATAATGCCCCTTTAAGATAATTTCTTTTTTGCAGTATTAAGATTTTTTTTTACCAAATTAATGGCAACAATTTTCCTAGATATTGCATCATTTTGTAATTTGTTTATTCCCTATGGCTCCTGTAATGCTCCAGTCTAAACAAAGTTCCCAACCACACCTCACTATAAAGTGGTACATATTATATAGTTATGCTTATATATCATATATATCAAGTTATTATATTGAGGTATCTATTGTTTCATGTGAATCAATAAACAGCTGTTCATATATTTTGGTAGAAAGTAGTATATTTATCTACTTTATGTATAAGAAGAGACAAATTTCCTATACGTCAACATCCAGACACAACTTTTTAGCATTTTAGTAATACAATCAGCATTTCAAAGAACGGGGTCACCTGCATAACTCGACAATTAAACAATTATCGAAGGAAACATCATTCTCTATACAGTTTAATTAATAAGATCAAATTGAACACAATTTTTAACTTTGTGGAACATAATTTATCAGAATTCAAGATTCAGGAATCGTAATTAACCCTTTTCAATTAGTAATTTAGCAATTAAGCCACTCCTTTGTGAAAATAGCTGCTCAAAGTAATAAGAGAAAAAATATCAACAACCGTAAATCAAGTGTACTTTTGAACAAAAAGCATTGATTGATTATTTCCTTTTATGAGAAAACAATTATACAGCAGGAGTGTTGAAGTTTAAAAATAGCTAAATGGGTGAACAATTATCGATTAGTTTGAATAGTTTCTTATTTCTATTCTGTTGGTATTTGCTGGTAGGGGGCTGAGTTGTGTAATATGTATTTTAGATCATCAGGTCTGTCATTGAGTCAAGCGGCAAGGTTTCGATCCAAAGCTTTTACTTGATAAGGAGCGAGGTCACCTGGCTTAGCTAATGGCTTTTCTCTGGGTATTACAGTTCCCTCCCACTGCTAAAGACCCCTACGTGAAGGCAAATTATTGTAATAAAGATTAACATGTTTGTCCAAATTGACTTAGTTTTTGTTGAGTGAACCTCTCATTTATTTTGGGTTTCTATCCTCAGGTGGTCACAACTCAATGAAATAAGTTAGGAATAGTAGACTTTAATGACAGAATAGTTCCTTTGATTGCTTCACAAAACAAGCTTCAGCTTTGATATATTACTTAAGATAGAATTTAAAAAAATAATATACTTCGTGATATCCAATATGAAGACACCTGTTCAAAGAATTGATCCAAGTTCAAAACATTCTAAATATTTAGTACTAATAATCTTATTGACCAATCCTTTTGTATTTCGTGATATTCAAAGATTTGTTTTCTTTGAAAAGACCGTATTGATCATAACAATACACTTGAATATACATAAACTTCTCATAAAATATACTAATACTACATGTTTAAACAAGCATAAAAGCTCTTATTATGCTGTTATTACTTGTATTAAAGTTTGAATCATGCATCATGAACATTATAAGTATGTAATAAATCAGTGGATTGCTACATCATAGGAGTTTAAATAACCGTATATAATGCGATGAATATAATGTATATAATACGTTCATAACGGTAATATTATAAAAATGATTGATGTTCTGTGGATCTTGATTCTAATGCCTTTTCTTAAGCATCTTTCACAAGATCAATGCATTAAGTATATATGCAGTGGTTTTTCTCTATCTTCACTGGTAAGACTGGGGTTGGGTGGTCTAATGGTAATGCCTGTGATTTAGATCATAAGGTCTGTCACTGAGTCAAGTGGCGTGGTTTTGATTCTTAGCTTGTATGTGACAAGGAGTTGGGTCGCCTGTCCAACTCCAACTTCTTGGGTTTTCTCCAGTTTCCTTCTACATATTGAAATAAAATTGAACCATATGTTAGTCCCAAAATGACCTAGTTTGTGTATAGTGGATGTTCAACCCTATTTTCTCTTTGTCTCTCTTTGACTAGTAGGAATCATAGTTATTCCAGTCATTTGTGTATATTTTGACCAAAATCCTATTTCATGGGCTGAGGGGCATCATTGGATTAGGGGATCTCTCGTCATTTTCCTAATCAGAAAGCAGTATATTTTTATTCAGTTTGACTACAAGATCTGTCACCTCATACAAAACTTTTTTCCTTTGCTATTTTGTGAAATAAATCTATTTATTTAGCTGTGAACCACTTTGAAAGCCTACATTTTTCATTTGACTGGCTCTACTTTCATATTTCTTACTTCGTAAATTTCGCATAGAGGAGAGATTTTCCTGAGTGTTATTATTTTAAATAGATATGTTATATTTACTTGAAGTAAATAAAGCTACTGTTATATTTACACAGAGTATTATTATACTGTTTACTTTACAAGGACATTAAATATTAATACTCTTATTATTTATTACACACTGAATATTCATTACTTTTACATATTGAATATTCAGAACTTTTACATATAATATTTCTATCACCTATATACTGAATATTCATATTATCTAGGCCAACATACTAGATATTAATAACTCTTACATGTGTAACATTTCTATCACCTAAATACTGAATATTCATATTATTTTTATCATGTGCATACTGATAATTCATATTATCTAGGCCAACATACAGAATATTAATAACTTTTACATGGTAACATTACTATCACAAATATACTGAATATATTCGTATTATCTAGGCCTACATACTAAATATTTTCATATTATCTAGACATGGTAACATTGCTATCGACAACATACTGAATATTCATATTATCTAGGCCTACATACTAAATGTTAATAACCTTTACATATATAACATTTCTAGAACCTACATACTGATTATATTCATATCTACATTCTGAATGTTCATATATACACTACATGCTATAGTTTTACATATGTGTCATCATGTTACAAATAATGTATTACATGTAATGAAATGCAGCGTGTGTTGTTAAAATTATACAAATAAAATACATTACAAACATAATAAATTAAACATTCCATAAAAAAAGAAAAAATGTAATGTACTTTATCTTTCATGAGAGATGTAATATTTAAGGAAATTTCCATTTGCCAGTGAAACCATAAAGCCTTTTAAAATTATTTTTCTTTTCTATATGCATCCAATATATTCAAAATTTGTTTTCATTCTTTTTTACAGGATCGAGAAAAACATGAACAACTCAACGAACTTTTAACCAGCTATAGTACACATGGATTACCTCCCTTACATCCACTTGTTGCTGTTGGAAAGACTCCGTTTAAAGAAGAGAATTTTTATCTGGAGCAAGACTGGAGACATATTGTTGACAATTCAGCAGTAAGTGAAATTAATCTTATTTTAGATAGAAGTCTTAATACTCTAGAACATGAAAGAATTACCCATCTTGCATTTGAGGTCTTAAATCTGTCACCACCATTAAGCATTTGAGGTCTTAAATCTGTCACCAACATTAAACATTTTAGATCTAAAACCTGTCACCAAGGTCAAGCATTTTAGGAAAAAATGAGGAATTGTGATGTTTTGGCCACATAGGGATTTTTATTCCTAACTGTAACTAGTTAGTTCCTAATAGCACCAGTTACCTGTTTATCCACCAAATGAGCTCCTTCCACTGGCAAAAACAAATTCCACAAAAAAAAAAATGGGTCTCTTTATTGGACCAGAAACTCCCTTAAACCTGTCTCTCCCATTTTTTTAGCAATAAATTCAATCTTTACCTTATTATCTTAAGTATTAAGGGAGAAGAAATATATACTTAGTTTAGATGCACCAATGAAAATAAAAGAGCAAAAATTTAATTACTATACATGTATCTCAGTACTCAAATCTTTGCTCTGTAAACTTTTTCTGTCTGTTCTTTGCCGGGGGTGTGTGATGGCTGAATGGTTAGCGTGCGCGCGCTGTATCATAAAGTCTGTCATTGAGTCGACTGGCGTGGTTTCGAATCCCCGGTTGTACATGACAAGGAGTAGGGTCGCCTGTCCAACCTCGTGGGTTTTCTCCGGGTCCTCCGGTTTCCTCCCACTGCTAAAGACCCCTACGCGCAAGCGAATTATTGAAATAAAATTAAACCATATGTTAGTCCCGAAATGACCTAGTTTGTGTCGAGTGGACGTTAAACCCCATTGCTCTCTCTCTCTCTCTCTGTTCTTTGCCCCTAACAGTCGTTAACATTAGGATAAAAGAAACACTATAGACATGTATGATATATATTATTATTCTGACATATAAAGGTATATAGTTACCTGTATGACCTATATATTTACATATACCAGTTATTTATATACATATCAAAACAACTTGACAGATTGTCAATCAAGTCTTCATCAAAGTTTATTGTTCTACTTTTACTTTATGTAACAACTAAAATAGCTCCCATCAAATTTTGCTCAAATTTGTTATTTTTTGATAAATTACTAGTACTAAGTAGGTAATCATGCCTTTGGCTTTAATTAAAATATCTCAACTGTAGAATTCTTTGGTTTTAGGTTTGTTTTAACAAAATGACTGATATTTACCATAAATATTGACTTAAATAACAGACTGGCTAATGTTATGATTTTATTCTCACAAAATGTAATTCTTGAGGTCTATGAAGAATTATCCCCCTTTAGTCTTCAAACATTTTTAATAATGGCCATCATGTTTGTTATGCATGTAGATAACTGTTTCATAAATTAACTGTATTTGGTTTCTTGGTGTTGATATCTTTATATTTTCTAAAATTAAGGGTTTGGTTTGATACAGTTACTACTTTAATGTGATGTGAATAGAGTTATCCCCCTTTAGTCTCCAAGCTTGTTGCAGTCCATTTATAAAGTTCTCAACTTGATAACACTTAATATAAAACTGTATATTGGTTCTATGTTTGAACCCTTTTTATAAACAGAAATTAATTGGTTTATTTTTGCCTTCTAGGAATTGTCTAAAACCCAGCACGATCAACAAGAAGCTATTTGGGAGCTGATTGGAACAGAAAGATCTTTTATACAAAATCTCAGGGTTATTACATCTGTAAGTATATTCATTTTGTATTAGATAAAATAACAATAATCTGAGATACTTATAATATATAATGTCATATACATATTTGGAACATGTTTGTAAATGCGAGATCCATGATAAAAAATTTTGGGGAAGTTATAATGGAATTCGGTCAACATTTAATTTTGAGACTAAAGTACAGTAATTTTTTAATTTCTATGTGTTCAATGCGACAGGGAGAATTTTGACTCTGCAGTGGTGTTTTCACCCACACTTCTACAGATTCCATGGCCAAAGGATCTTTTATGTGCACTACTGATTTGTACACAGGAATTGTTTAAAATAAATCATTTGTAGACTTGCCATTTGTGAATCATGCATCACCAATCTGAACACAGGACTGAGTTAAAAGTTAATTATGAACTCATTTATACCATATGTAATATGTGCACTACCAATATGTATGGAAGACCGAGTTATAAGTTGATTTTTAAATCATTTGAACTTATGTGATTTATATAATGGAAGGCCACAACTGATAAATAATTCAGTTCAATAGACAATTGTAGGAATATACTCCCATAAATGATATTTGATTTGAATATTTTTTTTTGTGTTTTGCAGGTTTTTAAAAATTGTTTATTAAATATACAGAACAACCAGTTATTATCAGAGGTACATTTAAATACTTATTCTTGTTTTTCTTGAATAGTTAATACAAGCTTTGTAACTCCACATATACAATGACTCTTGATTCAGATGTATTTGCCAGTCTTTGATTGACTGATAGTGATATTGACCAACAGGACAATTTGCCTGCCATTCAATTTACATGCTATAAAATGAGAATTAACTTAAAACACAATCAATATAGTGAAAGTTTAAAGTAAAATGCTTCGAAATATGTAAAAAGAATTGAGGGAATGCTACAAATATGTCAAGAATTGAGGTAACGATACAAATATGTCAAGAATTGAGGTAAAGATACAAATATGTCAAGAATTGAGCGTCCAGCAAAATTTTGACATAGAAGCCCGGTTATCTGTTCAGAAAAAATCCAAATAAAATTCAGTGTTTCTACATCATTCAATAAAATAAATATTCTTTTAATATGAAGCTCGTTAATTTCAGATTGAAACCGAACAGTTATTTAGCAATATCGATGATTTAGAAGAAGTAAATTGTCAGTTTTGGGAGAAATATATTTTACCGGTTTTACAAGAAAGTCGAACGTCTCATCAACCACTTAATCCGTCATTATTTAAACATGGTTTTACCACTAAGGTAAGATAATATACAAAAATATACTCCCTTGTCTCTGAATTCTGCACATGGAAATAAGACATTTAACTATACGGCTCTACTAAAGATACATTTACCTACGTGGCAAACCCTGATCTATCACTCTATTCCCCGATTGTACGTGACAAGGAGTAGGGTCGCCTGCCCAACCTCATGGGTTTTCTCCGGGTCCTCCAGTTTTCTCCCACTGCTAAAGACCTCTATGCACAAGCAATTTATTGAAATAAATATTGACCTATAGATTATTCCTGAAATTACCTAGTTTGTGTTGAGGGGACATTAAACCCCATTTCTCTGTCTCTCTCTCTTTCTTTTTTATCACGTAAAATTTAGTGGTAAGGACACTAGACTCTTGATTAGAATCTCCCAGGTTTGGAATACTCGTACTTGTCTGGATTTTTTAAGAGTAGCTTCCAGTTGTCAGGTTTGATAAGTAGAGTGTTGCTTACTTGTTTTGGATGGAACAAAGAAAACAAAGTCTGCCCTTGTGCACGTAAAACAACACTTGAGAAGAGTAGGTCGAATCACCACTATCCCAGCAAAATTTCCCTCCCTTTTATAGTTCAAATTCATAAATTACCCAGTAAAATAACACATTTCCAAAATTATTTTTCAGTTCTCTAAATTATTTTTTCCCTATACAAAATGGTGCATGGATCAGAAGAATTGTGTGGACTATCAGAGAACAAAATACAACGAAAATGAACTTTTTAAAACATTTGTTGTGGTGAGTGCTATTTTTGGTTTCATTATTTTCAGAACAGCTAAAATGAATGAGTGTTACATTTTTTGTTGTGAATTAAGTGATTTTTGTGTTGAAGAAAATCCTTGATTAGTTTTTGGAAAAATGAAAGTAAAATTTTATTGTTTTTGTATTTTCAGTGGGCTGAAGCCCAGAAACAGTGTAACAGATTAAAGTTAACAGATCTTCTGGCTAAACCTATGCAGCGTTTAACAAAATATTGTCTCTTGGTTAACGCCATCTTAAAGAAAACTGAAGATGAACAGCAACAGAAAGATTTACAGGCAATGGTTCGTATTTTCATTCAGTCGTAAAATAATTTGAAAATATTTCTGGAATTAAATATTTGGAAAAAATTGGTATTTCTTATATTCAAAATTACAGAGAATTGAGATTCAAAATTACAGAGAATCAAGATTCAAAATTACAGAGAATCAGAAATTTATTTATAATGGCTCATATAATGTTAGAAAAACAGAATTTGTATGGAAAATATGGTGCATCAAGCTAAGGGGGGACAACTCCAGAATGTCGACAAAATAAGAAACATAATGATGGTACTAGATACTATGGATCAGCTTATTTTATAAATTTCTTTGGATATCTTTATTTCACTTTTTTATTTTATATTTTAGATTGATTGTATAGATAGATTTGTTACACATGTAAATCAACAGTTAAGAAACCAGCAAGATCAAGAAAGATACGAAGCCATTATAACAAAGATAGAGCCGTACGAGGCTGTGGAGGCACCTAATGAAGAATGTGTCAGGGTAAGATTTTAGATGAGAAATCTTTTCTTGTTAGAATTAATGGAACCCTTTGTACTGTCAACACAAGAGCATGGGGAGATGTCTTTATATACAGAAATTATCAGACCAGTCCAAATTGTTACATTGTGTCCATTTCGTTTAAGGACTTACAAGCTTTTAGTAGACTCAACACCCAGACAAAGTACTTTAGAAAATTGCAAATTGTGAAAAGGGGAAAATAATTTGTGGTTAGAATGAATTTTTGGGTTATGTTATAAGGTCATCTCAGATATCAATGTCCTCACTTGTATAATTGTTGTATTCACTGAGACTCTCTGTATTAAACTTATAGAGTGAAACAACAGATGATTTCATTCTTTTCAATGATATGAAAATTTTATCATTTTTCAAAATATAAATTAAATTGGTATTTTATTTGATATCTTGGGGAAAACCAATTTGATATCTTAGGGAAAACCAATTTTGGGACAGTGGGTCTTATTCTGGTTGTACAGAGAGTCTTGGTTTTTAGTTTAATGTTATTTCTTTCTAATCAAAGTTATTCAGTTTTTAATAGCTCATCCAGTTTTATCTTAGCATAATCACAATCTAGGACTGCTTGGATCTAGGACAGATTTTTGTTGTTGTTTATGTTTTTTTAAAGTACAGAAAAAAAATGTTGTACATAGTTGCTTTGGTATGATGCCAATTAGTTAAAGAGATAGATAATGGACCCAGAGGATGAACTCTGGTTAAACCATGCTGGCAGTAGATTATGAGATTGTGATTATGCTAAGTTGAATTATTTATGTAGTGTGTTATCATCTATTACTGATGGATGGAAAAAGCACATATATTTTAATCAATCAAAGTATTAATCTTCTAATTTTAATCTTCGGACTAAATTTAGTTCCTGAGCGTTATTTGTGGAATTGCTAATCCCCTTTAAACTGACAGGTTATTCTCTACAATGAATATCAGTCTTAACATGGTTCAATTCCATTCAGTATTTACGAAGACATGAGTACATTTTAGTGTGAATTAAGTCATGGAAAATACATTATTTTATCAAAAAATGGAAGTGGCGCACAAAGGCTTCAATTAAAAAAGAGCTATTAAGATCTGAATGTTCTGTTATGATGTTTTTATTATTGTCTTATTTCTAAACTGTTAAAATCCCTTTTTCACACAGCTAATGTCTTACTATCACTGCTCATCATATTATTTTTGGTTTTGCATGAAATCGTACTTTCTAGATCCGTGCAGCAACATGTCAAATGTTTGTGCATGCTCATGTCGTTTTTAAATCTAGTTTATAATATATCATTTACTTTTTTTCATATCACTGTGCAATTTGCATGTAGGGTATGCCTTTTATTCTTCTATTGTCATTAACTTTATTTTTCATGTCTTTTTTCAACATAATAAGTTGTACTTTGGTTGCATAGTTTATATCATATTTATCATGGTAGTTTGGTTGTCTTTACATAAACACTATTGGTAAGGAAGGAGATATTTGTACATCCAAAAGTCAATGTAGGTGTGATGTTTTCGATGACTTTGATGAAACCCTCTTAAGAAAAATATGAGAATTAGATTGAGTGCAGTTTTGTACATCAAAATTCATCAGAATTTGTCGCTAGACCCAGTAAAAGGCAAGAGTTTATGAAGAAGGCAGTTGGACTATCCTCCCCTTCTTCCCTTTGTGCCATCAAATAGCTGACCCTTGGTGGGAGTGGGGATGCTCTCAACTCCAAGGGTTTTTCTTCACTTCCTAGTCCACCTTTGATATCATTTTAAGTCATTAGATCATTGATAACTGTTTTATTTAAGGTAAGACATTAAAATAAAGGAGAAAATGTTGTTGACAAGTGATTATGTAATGATAAATATAAAAGTATGATTGCAAAATGCAAGATGGTTTTCAGGTTTCCATAAGGATGAAAGAAATAAGCTGATACATGTCAACATAAACAATCGACCCAACCCGCTAGGACCTTTCTGATTGGGGTCAAAATAAAAAGTGTGATTTGATCTGATGTGTTACTTTGATTGGGAGAGTACCAGTAGTAATCTTTGTAAATTTAAATTTTTAATTTGATCGAGAAAGTGAATCTCTGTCTGTTTATTAATTTAGGTTTCATTTATACCTCTATGCCTGCTTAATCTGTGGCAAAATAAATTAACACATCATAAGTAATTATACCACAACTTTAACATTTAACTCAGATCAGAGAAGATAAAAAATATGAGTGAGTTTTAAAATGTATGTATGAGTATTTAAGGCACATCAAAACGGTTTAAGAAAGCCAGAAAAGGTAAGGAGAGTTAATAGAAAGGATGAAACTCTTATTCTCTTTGAAAGTCTTTGAAAGAAGGTGAGATAACTCTGATTTGCTGTTTGGATTTGGTGGTATGCAAGATGGAGCATGGTAGTTAGAATTTTAGATTCAATTGCTTTTTTAGGCCAGCAGATGTATTAGCTTATAGATCGTTGCTGTGTTATGCTTTGTTGTATATTGTGTGAAATTTATAGAAGAAAAGGTTGAGAATTAGAGGGGATTTCATAATCTTTTATAAAAAGAGAGGATTTCTTTAGAATAAAAAAGGATGTCCAAGCCTTAGTTTAATAAGTCCCAGTTTTTTCCATCAAGTTGTTTAAATTTGAATTTAAATTCGATTACAAAATGTCATTGAGGTATCATCTGGTTCCACACAAATTTTTTTTATTTTTCAAAACATCTCTCATTACTTACTTTTTAATGTTTCTATGTCATATATCCTATCAATTTCATCCTTTTTCTCATCATTGTCTTCTTAGCTTTCTTAACCTCCTTTTCACAATCAAATTCCTTTTATTTTATTGTCCAATGCTTTTCTCAACATTACTCCATTTTTATTCCTTTTTAGTCCCCCTAGCCTAACTGAATGTATGACTTTTTCAACCATAGATGTTTTTAACCCTAACCCTAAGCTTAACCAGTTAGCTCCTATTAGCACCAAGTGGCACCTGTTCAACATCAGTGGCCAAAACATCAGTAATCCACTTAACTGAACCAAGATTTATTTTGGTACTGTCAGCACATACTCGGCATAAAGGACTGTCAGAACTTTAAAGAGGCATTTCTACGTTGATCCTACATCTGTCATGCAATCTAATATGAATATACTGAATATCCACTGCATACAATTGTATGGAATACATTTACTGTTTATTACAGAGGGAATTTTTGACTAGGATCTCTAATCTTTATCGGGGAGTTGGATGGCCGAATGGTTAGCATGTGCGCGCTGTATCATAAAGCCTGTCATTGAGTCAACTGGCATGGTTTCGAATCCCCGGTTGTACGTGACAAGGAGTAGGGTCGCCTGTCTAACCTTATCTCCAATAAGTGAATTATTGAAATAAAATTGAACCATGTGTTAGTCCCGAAATGACCTAGTTTGTGTCGAGTGGACGTTAAACCCCATTTCTCTCTCTCTCTCTCTCTCTAATCTTTATCCTTAAAAGTTAAAGTTTGATGAAGAGTAGGCAAAGATGCCGCTGTCTTCACAGAATTTTCCCCATAGAACACATTGCCCACATTCATTAACTGGGTAGGTGTAGAAAAGTAGGACATTAAACCCCATTTCATTTGCAAATAAAACATCTCATGTTATCAATTAGTAACAGTAGGAGTGCCTCTTTAAACTAGCTATGTTTTATTGAACTGCTTGATTCTTGTGAGCTCTGCCCTTTAATACCATAATACCACCTGAACTATCCTGCATGTCGAATTATAATTTTCCTATTCGATGTTGTAATTATTTAACCTCATTTTTCTTCACTTCGCAAATTGCTTCTTTTATTCACAAAATTAAATGCGAAAACATTTCCCAAGATTTTCTTAAATCTTGTAAGCTCATGTAAGTTGGTGAAGGTTTTTATTTTTTGTCGCTCTCTTTTATTTCAGATTTTAAATTCCATATTTTTTTTCCCTGTGATTTCAATGTTTTAATCATTATTAATGTTGTGTAAATTCACGTGCTTCATTCATTTGTTGTCATCTTTTTTGGTTTCGGACTTAATTCATAATTAACGCCTTTCTTAATTACTTAACTTACTAACTCAAAATAAATATTGTACCATTGAATTTGTTTTAGTAGCCTACTACACAGAAATATACCAGATTTTTTCACGTTGCCTCCTGTCTTTTCAGATTCTTCAAGAATACAATTCGAACTTCGACCTGCGAGCACCAATGCCAGGAATTAATCAGATAGGAAGAAAACTCCTGATGCAGTCAGCTCTCCGTCTCAAAGAACCTCAAGCTAGGGTAAGTTGCTACATCTCACAGATTTCTTCGATTTGGTTACCCTCATAAGTTTTTTTTTTTTCGCCCGCATCAAAAATTAGTTTTCTCTATTGAACTATACAAAATGCGTCTGTAAACAGGAAAGTGTTTAGCTGCACTTTAAATGCATTTAATGAGTCAATGGTTTTAATGTTCTAATGCATGAACACCATATGAGAGGAGTAGAGAATGAAAAAGATCTTTTTGTAATTGAAGATTCACTGATGGTTGATGATGCAGGACGGAGGGGCTGACAAGGAAAGCTGTCTAGTCGTTCGGATGGGACGAAAAACCGAGGTCCCGTGTACACATTGGCGTGCACGTAAAAGATCCCTTGGCAGTTGAAATTCGATATAAGAGTAGGCCGTAGTGCCGCTGTCTGGGCAAAATTTCGATCATAGCACACTGTATGGCGTATGCCCGTCTTCATTAGCCCAGGTTAGGAGCAGAACAGTAGGACGTTAAACTCCATTTCATTTCATTTCATTTCATTTCTGATGGTTGATGCAGAAATTGTTTATTAGTAGATCTAATGGTTGTTGAGGATTTGGTCATACATTTGATATATTTAGAGTATATTTGTATTTCTTCTGATCATATAAGAATAATAATAACAGATTTATATAGCGCAAGATTACACTAAAGTTATATTTAGAATGTATTTGCATATTTAGAATATATCTGTATATTTCGATGATATACGTGATATATATATAGAGTATATTTGTATTCCGTCTGATCATATCGGTTAAATATAGAATATATTTGTATATTTTGATGATATATTATGTGATATATATAGAATATATTTGTATGTTTTACAGATGGATGTTGATTGTTTTCTGTTCACTGATCTCTTTCTAATCTGTAAATCTAATAAAAGAATGGATAAGTATAAAGTGATGAAACCTCCGATGAGATTGGACCGAATACTTGTACATGATCTGAAAGATAAAGGTAATTGATTCTACATGTATTTAGTTTTATGAAACAACTTAATAAAACCTATCTTGTCTACAGGCGTTGAGTTGTCAAGTTGACTGAAATTGAGAGTGATCACTCCAAATGAGTCTCTACTTTTTTCGACTCGGTATAATCTGTTTTCATTTTAACTCTTCAATTGAAGAACATTTGATTTAAATTTTATTAAACTAAATTCCACGTTATTTCACACTTCCAGTGGTATACACAGGATCTAATTTTTCGTTCCATTTGACAGAATAGACCTTTCTCAACTGGATTGAACCTGGGATTGCCTTGTTAATGATCCTGCATCGTTTTCCCCCACTGTGAAAGACCTGCACAAAGTGCATAAGGAATTAACATGTTAGACGCAAATGTATCCAGCTTTCTTGTATTCAGAAATTTTATTTGATTTTTTCAGGGAGTTTTCTGTTAATTTATTTGAATGAATACCATGTGCCTTGTACAGCGTATACATTCCATGCTAATGAATCAGCTGTAAAATGCTGGTTAGAATATATTAGAAAAGCTCAGGTGAGTTGTTTTACCTGCTTTAATATCGGGATTACAATGAGATGGTTCCATAGTTAATTTATATTTGAATTGACATCGTTTGATGCCCTGCCTGTAAATCGCAAATAAAAATATTGAGCTGTTTGGAATAATTGCTATAGTTACTTAAATCTTTTAAAGAATTTCATAATTCAGTTGTATGGGTGACTTGATACACTTGAAGATCACTACCATTATAACTTCAGCCGCTATATATAGAGGTGGTTACTCAGGCACATACATAGTGTGGAAGTTTTAGACTATCATTCAACCCCATAATAGTTTGTCTTTCTAAGAAAAGGTATCACAGTGCCTCCTCAAATAATTCACATGACTAAGATAAAGGTTCGCATCAGTCCTCCAACAACCAGATTTATTTATTAAAATACATGATTATCCATTATCTTGATATTATATTTTCAGGGTGCTTACAATGATGCCAGAACTAGAATGGACAGGGAAAGGGTTAACAAACCTATATACAGTATGGAACAAGTCGAATATACACCTCTAGATAAATATTCTTTATCGGGAGACACAGATGAATACTCGCGCACAGATAGTGTCGAATCAACTGACGGACGATTTATACCCAATATTATAAAAACAGCTGCTACTCCGGTAACTGATCAAGAAAACTTTTCACAAGATTCAAGTCGTGAAGATTCGAGTGATGCTACGCTATGTTCGGAGGAGTCATATGGTGACCGAAATGGAAAAATTTCTCCATCTAGTAATTCACCCACAAATGACGCTAAACACACATTATTAAATATTTCAAAAAGCGTGCCAACTAACAATGTTCTCAATCTTTCAATGATGTCTCATATGTCAGACAGTGATCCCGATTTCTCAGATATATTGGACGATGATTCACAAGCGAAAAATAATTCACGGAGAATCTCAAGAACGCGTGCAGAGAAGCGTTATCACACAGCGGACTCGATTCAAGATATGAACAAAAAAGACAAAGACAGTAGTATATACAAACGATTGTCGTGGAATTATGGGATGGGAGATATTATGGATAAACATTCTTTACGAAACAAAGCTATGAGCACAGACTCCATTCGTAGTTATCCTTCCTCAAGTGGTGTTAGTTCCACAGGTTCGTTACATATTCATACGGAGAGTGAAATCAGTGAAGAGGTTGAGAGCGGATTAAGTCCCGATTGTTCTCGTCATATCCATCACGATGCTTCTTCCTCAATTGACAGTAGTGATTTAGAAACTGTGACTTTAACACGCGAGACGAAAAAGTCCAAATCAAAGTCCACATCGGATATTGTCCAAATGTTGAACGATATTCGTACCAGCGACCAGGAACATGGAATATCATCTGTAGATTTACCAGAAATAACAAATCGAAAGAAACTCACACATGCTCAGATAGTAAAAATGAAGAAACAACTATTACTTAACTCTAATGTTGAAGCCTCGTAAGTTCATTTTAATATTGTTTCATTGAACAAGATTCGTAGCTTTCATGTGGGTTGACCACTTAGGATTAGGTAGATTTCGCTATGATGATGTTATTTCACATTGATCAATTATTACCATAGGTTGATATGTGGCATTTATCAACATATATTACCCTGTGTTGGTATTATGTCACATTTACCACACACCGAAAATTCTGATGTCCTGCTGTAGGTGTGTGTGCGATTCCATATATGCGATTCCATATAAGTACTGCTATTTGCTGTGGGATTCATCATACAGTTGTGAATGATGATGATCTACTATAAGATGTAGGTGGTTGGGTGGTCAAGTAATTTAGTGCAAGTCCATGAAACTGTAAGGTCTGTGGCATCATGTGGCATGGTTTCCATTTCCTGCTTGTATGTGACAAGGAGTAGGGTCGCATGTCCAACCTTGTGGGTTTTCTCCAGGTGGTCTGGTTTCCTCTCACTGCTAAAGACTCCTACGCGCAAGTGAATTATAGAAATAAAAGATGGAACCATATGTTATTTCCAAAATGACCTAGATGTAGCACTGCTTTGGGGTGTTTTCTAGGATAATTTTAAATGTAAACTTTAACTTTATTTTTGTATTATATTTTTCAGGGAGGTTTGATGAACATAGGATGTTAATAAAACTGTGATTAAGTAGAAAGATCTCTCTGATCTCCTATCTACAGTCAGGGAAAGATGATGCTTCCTTCAGGACTTCACAAGACATATCTCCCTTTACAGAACCAGATGACAACAGTCTGTCTTCTATATATCGGTGCAGCTCAACTACACGGAGGACACTTCTTAGAGATATTGAAATTATAAGAAACCACGATACACGAGTCCACTGAAGTTCTTTCTGATCACCCATCTCAGTTAAAATGTTTACTGGTAACATCTTAGGATACCAGTGATACATCTTTACCTTTGTCCATTAATGTGGGACTTGCATCTCCATGATAAATGTCCAGTCCTAGAGAAGGCAAAGTGTGTGTTTGCTCTCCAGAACCGACAGACTGGATTCAGATATTGTTGATTTTTGCATAACCTAATTTAAATCAATAAATATGGGATTTTGTTGGTTGGATTTCAATGGATGTATATGAAAATCTTTAATTTGTACTAATGGAATGTTTGGTCATTTCGATGATCTCCTTCAAATAATAAATGCCCATAATATATTGCATTTAGGGGATAAGCAAATGTTAGTATCACCCTGACAGGAAGTGGACATTAAGACCTGCGAACAATTGAATTGGTAGTAAATTGTTAAGAAATTACAAGCATTACAATGAATAATAGTTAGTGGCCACTTTGATTGTAAGAGTAGTAAGCCCCATGAACAATTGAATTGGTAGTAAATTGTTGGAAATTACAAGCATTACAATGAATAATAGTTAGTGGCCACATGGATTTGCTTAGTAGTAAGCCCCATGAACAATCGAATTGGTAGAAATTATGAGCATTACAATGAATAATAGTTAGTGGCCGCTTTGATTGTAAGAGTAGTAAGCCCCATGATTAATTGAATTGGTAGTAAATTGTTAGAAATTACAAGCATTACATTGAATAATAGTTAGTGGCCACTTGGAGTGTAATAGTAGTAAGCCCCATAAACAATTGAATTGGTAGTAAATTGTTGGAAATTACAAGCATTTCATTGAACTTTATTTAGTGGCCACATGGATTGTAATAGTAGTTATTTGTTAGATATTGTTAGAAGCTGGAAATGGGCGTTATGTGTTCAGAGAATGGAGTAAACATATCTCAATATTTAGAGAATATCAGTGGATTAAAACCACACCGTTAAATCAGTGCTTTCAAGATTAATGTATAAATTTGTACATTATAGTCTGTATTTATATATAAATAAATATACATTTATTAATTGATGTTCCTTAATTTGCAAATACATGTATAAAAATAAAATTAAGATCATTTGTTATATATAGCGTTAATTGTATTACCAAATGGGATAACTAAAATTTTGTGTTGAAGCTAGACTTCTTGTTGGAAAGATGCAACCTGCTTTAAGAGTATCACAGAAATTTAGGACAGCAGTGTCTTCAATATCACTTCTTGTCAAAGGAGACAGTACAAAACAACCAGAAAGCAAGAAGGACAACTGCCATTGGATTGCCATTTTCAATAACAGTTTGGCATGAGAGTCTAGCTTTAAAAACTATTACAGAAATATTGGACAGTTGCAACTAGTGTTGAAATAGCAGTTGCAATTACTGTCCTGACAGTTCCTGCTTTAAAAATAATAGAAACGGACAAACAAAATGTTATCAAATACCTCTATATTTTAAATTTAAAGGTCACCGGAAAAGCATCAATTTTTTTTTTAAATAATGCAAGTAATTATGTCAACATATCCTTTCCATAAGTATAACCCGAGCCCGAACGTCAATAATACCTGCAACAGGTAAATTTCAACATCAGTAATTTCCGCCGTTCTCCGTCGGTAGTCGGAACTTTCCCTCAATAAGCAATCCGTGACGTCATTTTAGTCCTTCTGCACATAGAAATATAGACTAGAATATGAGCAGAAGGACTAAAATGACGTCAAATTTACGGAAAGTTACGACTACCCACGGAGAATGGCGGAAATTGCTAACGTTGAAATTTACCTGTTGTAGGTAATATTGACATTCGGGTTCGTGTTATACTTATGGAAAGGATATGTTGACATAATTACTTGCATTATTTAAAAAATTTATGAACCTTTTCCGGTGACCTTTAAACAAAAAAAGTTATTCATGTTTGTATGTTTAATAATGGTGAAGATAAAACGGTGGTTAATTTCTTGTACTGTCAGTTATAGAAGAGAGTGGTTTATGTAAACAAAATTTAAGGAATCATGTCTTATTGTAAATGTTATTTTCATTAACTATATGTTTGATTTTAAAAAAAAGTGCATATTATCGTTTATTTTGGACCTAATGTTTCCAATTTATATATGATTCTTTTTAATATCATATAATACCATATGATTTACAGCTAGAGTTACCAATTTATTAAAAGAAAAAGAAAATCATGGAATTATATTCAGCAAATTAGTTGCAAATTACTTTGAATATTAAAGATGTTTTAATTATTAGGGGGTCTTCCTCATCTGGAGGGAGGGGGGGGGGGGCGGGATGTCCGAATGGTTAGCATGTGCGCACTGTATCATAAGGTCTGTCATTGAGTCAACTGGTGTGGTTTCGATTCTCCCGTTGTATGTGACAAGGAGTAGGGTCGTCTGTCCAACCTCGTGGGTTTTCTCCGGGTCCTCTGGTTTCTTCCCACTGCTAAAGACCCCTACGCACATGCAAATTATTGAAATAAAATTGAACCATGTGTTAGTCCCGAAATGACCTAGTTTGTGTCGAGTGGACATTAAACCCCATTTCTCTCTCTCTCTCTTCATCAGAGTTCATCATTGCACATTGTAATTTTTATCACTTTTTCTGTTAAAAAGGTTAGTCTAATTTGTTCCACATAGTATAAATGAGTTAGGATGTAATTTGTGTGTAATTTTGTTTAGGTTTGCTGTACTGTTGTTATATAAGTATAAAGCCCTTGCATGGCAACTATTAATATGAAAGTCTTAATGTATACCTCTAGCTGTGTCAAATTTATATAATATTTACAATATATATAACCTGAAATTTTACTGTTTATCAAAACAGATGAAAATTCGGAATTGTTTTTTTAATTTTTCTGAAAATTAGAAATCTATTGTGAGAGTTTATAAAACTTACCTATTCTATATAAGCATTTTTTCTAATGACAGAATTCAGGGTTTCGTATCTAGGATTATTTATAGAATATGAAAGATATGTTATTTTTTTCGTCTGAATTTTCCTCATTCTTTCATATGAATTTAAGATATTTAGAATTTTGTCATATGAGTTTAGATATTACAGATTTAATTAAAATCCTATTCATAGAATATGGAAGATCTGTTGTTATTTTCGTCTGCATTTTCCTCATTCTTTCATATGAATTTAAGATTTTCGTCATTTTGTCATATGAGTTAAGATGTAACAGAATTAATTTAAAATCCTATTGCGATGGGTTATGTTAAGTGCTAGCCTCTTGCTGATTGTCATTTGAGAGATTTTGAATCCCTTATAAACCATTGTATTGTGAAATTTGAATATCTTAAAAAGAACATCAATCTGAAAGATTCGTTTTGTATTTAAAAAGATACCATTAATTGAAAATTTTGCATCTGTTACAGATGAACTATCTGCCACTGATAATCATATAATCAATTTAAAAACATTTTAGCGAGAGCTAAGTCTTGAGACAGTTGATATGATCTGAAAACTACATGATTGGTGACTTTAAGATGTACGTCATCATTGCGAGGATTAGGTTTGAGGTTATCTGCCCTTTACTATAATCTGTAAACATTTAATTCTCCTTAGATTTACTTGTGTACTCCTCCAATTTTATAAACCCTTTCATTATGTCTTATTATCAAACCAAAAAAGGAAAATTGTAACAACTTATAAAAGCGTTGTTGATTGGCTGTCTTGATGTGAAAATACAGGATGTCTTTCAGAAATAGAGAGTGGGTTCTCATACTCTGATCAGATTCAAATATTAATATTTATTTTTTTCAAAAACTTAACTGATGAATCATTTGTTAGGCATTCTTGTATGGTTAAGAAAAAACATTTCATTTAATAGACCCTCATGATTAAAGCAGATCAGATTGAAAATTTTATATATCATAAAAACCTTAAAGGATAATCATGTATTAGACATTCTTCTGTGGTAAAGGAGGGGTTGGGTGGTCTAGTGGTTTCAAATCCCTGATTGTACGTGACAAGGAGTAGGGTCGCCTGTCTAATCTAAGGAGTAGGGTCGCCTGTCTAATCTCATAGATTTTCGCTAGGTCTTAAAATAGTTTGAAATGCAGTTACAAAAATTTATTTCTTGCCCTCTCATTTCTGCTCAGACAAGAATGTAATTGATTTATTAATGTATTCAATGTAATGTGATGAATATAGTGTGTTATATGTGTATGTAATGACAAATATGTATATTGTAATTGTATTATATTAGGTAGTATTTATATGCAATAATATACTTATGCAACAAAAGGTCTCCTCCTCTCCTATAAGCTTGTATATTATTCAATTGTTAATAGTTGTACATAATATATATACATATATCATTTCTACAGAAAATAAAATGTAAAAAAACTAATTGTTTGTGCCATGAATTCTGTTTTTTATTTTTCGAGAGGGGCTATGGCTTGTGCTTCAGAGCATACAGTCCATCATTGGGTCATTTAGCCTGGTTTCAATCCCAAGCTTGTGGGTTTCCCAGTTCTTCCTGTAAACCATGCTTTGGTAATTGTGAAATTCTTTTGAATTGGTAGTTAATCTGAAGTTGACCAACAACAAGCTGTGCATTAATGTTCATGCCCTATATAGTAATGACTTGGAATATTGCGCGTTGAATCATAAGGTCTGTCATTGAGCAATCTGATGAGAACACAGATCCTATTTCATTTCGTTTTTTATACTTCAAAATTTCGTTTTACTTGTCTTTACTACACTAGGATCTGGAAGAGTTGTTATATGACCTGTGTTCTGGATTATGTGAGGTATTAGCCAATGGGACGGTCTATTACGGCGAGTGTGAGGTGCACGGAAATATCAACGCTGATTGATTAATCAAATGTCTGATGTTACAGGGTCAAAAGCCGCTCGTATGATCTCTGACACTACCTTCCACTACAACTGATCAGATCTTCATGTAGTAGAGGCCATGGAAAGTATAAAAAAAAAAGAAATATAGATCTATATTTTTATCAGATTGGTCATTGAGTCAAGTGGCGTAGTTTCGATTCTCTGCTTGTATGTGACAAGAAGTAGGGTCGCCTGTCCAACCTCGTGGCTTTTCTCCAGATTCCGCCCACTGTTAAAGACCTCTACGCGCATGCGAATTAATGAAATAAAATTAAACCATATGTTAGTCCCGAAATAACCTAGTTTTAATGGACATTAAACACCATTTCTCTCATTCTCTTACTTTTATCAATTTTCATTGAACACTATATCGCAGATGGATCAACATCTTGCCTAAAACATTTTGTAAGGTTTACTATGAATATTTTGAGATACACAAACTGAAAGTAGAACATCGTTTTAATAAACAATCTGGACCGGCAAAAGCAATTTTGGATTGGGTCCTCTGGACTCTTAAGCAAGGGCTATGCCCTGGAAGCTCCTTTGGGGTCTAAATCCACACTGATCAGGAGTGAACATTCTTTAGCCGCCACAATCACTGATACGGATGACATCGATGCGACTTAATGAGCCACAAATATTAACGTTTTTCCTCTGACAAGTTAAATTCTAAAACATTTTTGTTTTATGTATTAGAAAAATAAATAAAGGCGTTTGAAGCATTTGTAGGTAAAAAAATATTACCTATTTAGTGTAAATGGGTATTAAATGAGTAAAAGGCACCATTCTGCCCGAACCAGTAACGTCTGACGCCTCGTGATGTGACGTCAAGTGTTGCAGACAGTCATCTTTTACAGAGAGATATTAGAAGACTGTCGTAATCCTCTGTGAAACAGATTGGTCTAAATCGTCGAAGACGCGTTCTGAGCGATTCCTGGCTAATAAAATTACTCAGCAATGAATTGAAGTTTTAATTCGTTCCTTAATTGTTTACCATGAAAATACAGTCGATGGTTGTCCCCTGTGATGCCGAACAGGACAAAATATATGCATAATATAATAACATAGCCCTGACACACCGTGTGAATGTGATTGATTTTGCCGATGCAGACGAAGTGTATTTATGCTCAGAGGTGTACGATGTTGCAAGGCGTGGACGAGGGTAAGGAAGAAATTTTCGTCAACCACCCTAAAAAAAAAAACGTCGTTCACAGCTGACATGATGTTGAAACGGGGATCATCCACGGTTACAAATCTTGCCGAAAAATTATCAGGATCTGCTTCAAAACGGCCAGATTGTCACGGGACGTTTCTGATCCGCATTCAAGAGCTTTTGCACCAATCTTGCAGAAACCAATGTCATTCCTAACTTGTTGGCGATAATGTGCTCAACCCTCTCATGAGAGATGCCCACAACACTGGCAATATGTCTAATGGCCAGTCGTCGATAGGTCATCACCATGTAATGCACCCAGGTAATGTTTTCTTGAATGTTTGCTGATGATGGCCTTCCAGGACGCTGGTCATCGCCAAGGCCCTCTCTCTCTGACACGCTTACATTCTACAGCCCAGTTCTTTACTGTGGAAAAGTGGAGACCATGTCAGCATGTATCTGTTTTGCGGTTAGTCCTTTCATTTGCAGGTACTTGATGACTGTCCTATAGCCTGTTTTGTCCATTTCTTATGTTCTCAATGGGTAGGTTCACAACATGACCTGGTCCGAAGACAATAATAACACTACAGTTGCAGTTCTTGTGTTTATGATTCATTTAATGATTATACTTGTTGGTGGCAAAAGTATGTGACAATCGAAAATAGCGCCGTTCTGTCTTTGTCAGGGTTAGAACATTTCAGCCAGTGCTCATATATGTTCATCACATTAATCTACGATTGGTCCTATAATTGGTTTGGTTCATATGTTACATGTGCATTCATTAATTTAATTAGTGAAATATCAAATCAATATCTTCTCATATTATAAGATATAATTATACGAACTCATAGATAATACTAATATATTTATTATATCTTGTTAATGATTGTTAGATACGAATAAGGCTTTTCATAACAACTCCTGGATTATTATAAATAATCTGAGGGAGGGGGAGAGAGAGAGAGAGAGAGAGAGAGAGAGAGATAACGTGGGCGTTAGCCATACAACCAGCAAGTGTACCTGCAATTTAGAGAAAGATGAAATACGCAACACACCTACAAATATATAGTGATAATGATTATCTGTGTGGACTTTTCACAAACTGAGAAGTGATACGTTGGTGGCCGAATGGTTTCCCGCGTACGCGTTAGATCGTAACTTATGCATTGAGTCAAGTGGTGTTGTTTCGGTTCACCGCTTGTACGTGACAAAGTGCATGGTCGCCTGTCCAACCCGTATGTTTTTTACCGGTTCCTCCGGTTTCATCCCACAGCTAAAGAAAACCTCCGCGTAATTGTTAGTTCCGAAATTACACCGTTTGTGTTTGGACCTTAAACCCCATTTCTCTCTCTCTCCCTTTCATTAATGGGGGTTGGATGGCCGAATGGTTATCTTAAGGTCTATCACTGAGCCAAGTGGCGTAAACGACTGCCATTCAATATTGAACTGTTCACGTATATCACCAAACATAATTGATTAGAAAGTACAATAAAAATTTTTATAAATTGAGTACATATCACTTTACCTTAATATGTGATTTTAGACCGAACATAATTGATTAGAATTAACAATACAAATATCTGAAAATTATATAAATATCAATTGTTTTTATATACATTCATATTATATTAAAGGACAATATTGGTGTCAGTCATTATTACATATGTGATAGAACTGGTTAAATACATTCCAAATATAATTTCAACACAGAGATCATTGGTATGGAAGATGAGTAACAAGCACGTGAAGAAACGGGAAGTGACGCCAAACATGACAAGGATAAATCGTGTTTGTCATGTTTGTCGTCATTTCCCGTTTCTTCACGTGCTTATTACACATCTCCCGTAGCAATGATCTCTGTGTTAAAATTATATTTGGGATGTATTTAACCAGTTCTATCACATATTTTATAATGACTGACACCAATATTGTCCTTTAATGTGAGCTTTTAGACCCATTTTAAGCAATTTTAAGGTTCCAAAGATTAGAGCCATACGTCCTTTATCGTGTCATTATCGTGTATGAATTTTAGTAAATCGAATCCATAGTCTGAATAGAAGTGCCCCAGATGAAATCATTCAGCCGGGATTTTTTTTCCAACAACAGTAAGAACAGAACATACAGATTTCCTTCCTGTACTCACAAAATTGCTGTTCATTAAATGTCAAATTTTGTTGTGAAAACATTTCTGTATTTCATTACTTCCACGTAAGCTTTGTTAAATGTTGAATTCAAATTATTTTAAACTAAAGTTTAAGAGCATTTGGTGCACTTTTTCATCCTTCTGAATCACATGACATCATGTCAACTCGGCGGGATAAAAACAGGCCATTGTGAGGTTCATGCATTTATTCAATTTTGTAAAACAGCGGTATTTCCGCATAACAACACATGCAGGTGTAATTTGAAATTTTAGGAAGGAAAAAATTACATTTGTTGGTTTTATAATTCATAAATACCAGCGGTTTAACATTATGTCGTTATTTCACGAATAGTTTTATTATGATATGTAGAAAATAATAGTGTGTGTAATTGATTTTTTTTATTTTTAAGTATGCCTTAGCAACAGAATCAGATATAGAAATTTGCATGTTGCATTTGCCAGAAAGCTCCTACTTTTCTGGGCCTTGTTTCTCGAAATCTTAACTAAAGATAAAATCTAAATTTTAGTAGATACTTCAATTTTGATTGGCTAAGCACTAAAATCAATCTAATATTATCCAATGAAATTACTAAAATTTGGATTTCATCTTAAATAAATTTCGTGAAACATGCCCCTGCACTAGCCGCGCTAATGAAGACGGGCATGTGCCACACATTGTGTTAGGAGGGACATTTTACCCGGAAATTGCATTCAAACTTTCAGGGGTTATTTTACGTGCATACACGGGACCACGTGACAAGGAGTAGGGTCGCCTGTCCAACCTCGTGGGTTTTCTCCGTGTCCTCCGGTTTCCCCCCACTGCTAAAGACCCATACGCGCAAGCGAATGAATGGAATAAAATTAAACCATGTGTTAGTCCCGAAATGACCTAGTCTGTGTCGAGTGGACGTTAAACCCATCCCCCCCTCCCTTGTCAGACCCTCCCACGGTGGATAATCCAGGAGAACTTTCTCGGTCAATTCCAGGATCTAAACCAGACAGTGGCCCATATCCCATAACAGCTAAGAGAGAGATGCATTGCAAATACCAAGTATATAGACGTATAAATGGGTGTCGTGCACAAAGGCATGGCATGCACCCCCCCCCCCAAAAAAAAAAAAAAATAATAAAATAAAAAGACCCCAAAAACACCCGACACGACTTCTCATTTATCTGCGAAATTAACTAAGTCTTATTCTTTTGTGTAAAATCTGGATAAAAATCGTAAACAAATAAATTGTAGGCTTTAATTCTACAACCTCTTTAATTGTTTACACGTCAAGATAGAATGTCACGTGATTCGATTCGTTAAGTGCAGAAACTTAGTTTTAGTTCAACAATTTGAGTAACATGCTCGACGTTAAGGTTGACCATGTCAATTATCTGAGTAATTAATCCCACCTTTTAATTGTTTTCTCACATTGATACTAATTAGATCAAAACATTGTCAAGTTCCTTAATCCGTTACTATAACACCGAACACACGTCCTACCTCAACAGGTTTCTTGACTCCATCCGCTCTCTTCCTTATCTATCGCCCATATATAAACATATATAAACTTTTATTTGTATATACCATACTTTACATAAGTTACGACAATACCTCAAGATGTTTGGCTCTATTTGTGGTTTATTATCTTTCAGTAAGTCTTTTAACTTTTGAAAATTACATTCAGGTTTACTATTTCTTTTATTTCGAATTTAGTGAACAATATGTGTTTGCATTTTCAATCAATTTTTGAAAATTATTCCAATTATTTACACTTTTAACCAATCCAATCTGTTATGTTTTTATTTTTTTGTGAATCGGAGGATTTTTATAATCAAAAAGCTAATCGGCGTACAATAAGGATATTACGGAAGGAAAATGGCTTGGGGAAACTTTTAATACGCCAAAAAGCCAATAAATCTCGCATTATTCGATGAAAGCAGGAAAGGAACAAAACGACATTACCACGGGCCGCATCAGGATTTTTTCTCTAAATCCTAGGATTATTATTTGGAAAGATATATTATTAACCATAATCTTTTTAGTCGTTAATATTTTTCATTTTTATAATTTAGCGTGCATTAAGTAGAAAACTATTGAAATGGATGTAAATTGGTCCAAAAATACTACAGCTTGAAAATTTATACAACGCTTTATTGTACATTTCGAAAATTATCCTTTAATTGTTTTCATTTAGTCAATGTTTTAAAAATGAGGAACGAATCTAAATTTTATGATTTGTATTCTAATAAAATGTTCACGTATCCCTCTATTTGAAGTGATTAGAGTTGGGTTAGGTGAGTGGCAATACACAAACGTACACTAGATATGTTTATATACTATTCAAAAAAAGTAGGGGATATTTGATTTTGGGGGCATAATACTAAAATATGCAAATGACTACGAAAAAAGTCACTATAGAACCTAACAGAAGAAACATTTCCAGTTACATGTGACGCCCAAAGGCACCAATAGCTACCGCATGGAATGCAGGTGATGCTTGGGATCATCATGGGGGTCCAACCCAAGATTTGCACGACTCTGACTTTGAATGTTACAGTCATTGTGGCATTGAATTCCAGGGTGGAAACATCAGTTTAATTGTTTTAGTGACCAGAAAACAAATTTTGATATGCGTCGGCTTACCCAAAATGAAAGGTTACGTGCCCTTGGCATGCTACAGATCGGCACAACACAGGCGGTTGTGGCGCGGACGATGAATGTTTCTCAGTCTGTCATAAGCAGGCTATGGTCCAGATACCGTGATACACAATCTGTACAGGACAGACCACGCTCAGGTCGACCAAGGGCGACAACTCAAGCCCAGGATCGATTTATCCGTACCTTGGCCTTGAGAAATCGTGTCATCACAGCAAATCAGATCAGCGCTCGTCTTCAAACAGACACTGGTGTGAGAGTGAGTGGCCAGACGATTCGGAATCGACTGCATAGGGGTCACCTTCGCGCCCGACGTCCTCGCGTGATCCCTTGTTTGAGAGATCATCACATTCAGGCAAGACGTCGTTGGTGTAGGGATCGTCAACACTGGGATAATCGACGCTGGAGCAATGTGATGTTTTCAGATGAGTCAAGGTTCACTGTTGATTTTTTGGACAGACGTAGGAGGGTGTGGCGTCGTCGAAACGAGCGCTTCCAAGACGTTAACGTCATCAGACATGATCGATTTGGAGGTGGTTCTGTTATGGTGTGGGGAGGCATCACTGTTGCTGGAAGAACGGCTTTACATGTTGTTGCAGGGCGTGTTACAGGCCAGTACTACCGGGACAACATCTTGGCAGTCCATGTTGTGCCGTTCGCACGACGTCATGGCCGCCGTTTCATCTTCCAGGATGACAACGCAAGATGTCACAGGGCCAGGATCGTTACAGGTCACCTCCAACAACAGAACATCACCACATTACCTTGGCCAGCACTGAGTCCCGACCTCTCTCCCATCGAGCATGTCTGGGACATGCTTGGATAGAGGTTACGTCAACGTCAACAACGTCCTGCCAATGTCCAAGAACTTGCTGCTGCGTTGCAACAGGAATGGGACAATCTGGACCAAAATGACCTTAGACGTCTCATTAGGAGTATGCCACGTCGGATCAATGCTTGTTTGGCAAACAGAGGAGGATTTACCCGTTACTGACTTGGTTGTGATGCTGTGGTAACTTTGCTGTTTGACCCCGGGTATCATTTTACCCTTATAATGGTCAGTCTGTGCCTTACTTAGTCTAACGATCATTTGGAATAAATCGATGAATGTGAATTTCATTTCATTTTGTCATTTGTTTCTTCGTTAGTTTCATTAGGTGACTTTAATAACACTTAAAAATCAAATATCCCCTACTTTTTTTGAATAGTATATCTATGCGGCGTACTGTTGGACAGTGTGCATATCATACTTTGTGTATGACACCCCAGGGAGCGTTGTTTGAGAAAGAACTCTACTACGTGACAGATTTCGAAGTAAAGCTATCAGTTTTGGAATACATTTAGTATTTAGACAAGACTTCCCTGCACGTTTCAATAATGGTTTACTAGAGCTATCGTTCTATATTAGATGATTTTGTTTTTATTTCAGTGACCATAATATGGACAACAGACGCCCAATCCTATAATCGCGGTGGAATATCCCCACCAGGTGGATTTGGAACGTTTGGTAGAGGTTATCCACCAGTGGGAGTTGGTTCGACAGGATTCGGTACAAGAAATACACCAGGGTTTGGTCTTAGTCCTTCGTTAGGTGGAGGTCCATTAAATAGACCTGGAGCTGCTGGTTTAGGAGGACCGGGATTAGGAGGACCGGGATTAGGAGGACCGGGCTTAGGCGGACCGGGCTTAGGCGGACCGGGATTAGGAGGTCCTGGACTAGGAGGACCTGGACTAGGACCACAGGGTTTAGGAGGGCCGGGATTGGGAGGACCGGGTTTGGGAGGACCGGGATTGGGAGCACCAGGATTGGGATTGGGAGCACCAGGTTTAGGAATAGGAGCACCAGGATTAGGCGCAGCGGGATTAGGAACTTCCGGTTTAGGAGCAACAGGTTTCGATACCGTAAGAAGCAGTTATGGTTCCCCTGGCTATGGACTCGGTGGTTTGGGTTCCAATGGTTATGGTAATAGCTATAACTCTCGTTTTGGTTTCGGAGGCTATGGTACGCCTGGTTTGAGCGGATCCGGATATGGATCTCTTGGATACGGAACAGGTAGCCTTGGTTCTGGCTATGGTGCAAGTGGCTTTGGTACAGGCTATGGACCAGGTAGCTTAGGTTCTGGTATTGGAGCAAATGGTTTGGGAACAGGCTATGGAACAAGTGGCTTGGGAACAGGCTATGGAACAAGTGGCTTGGGAACAGGCGGCTATGGAACAAATGGCTTAGGAACAGGCTATGGAACACGTGGCGTTGGAACTGGTTATGGTAATGGAATTGGTCCGAACACGTACGGAACAAATGGATTAGGTACACCAACAGTTGATACAAATGTCTTCGCTCTTGGTAAAAAGTAAACACCATTAACACAGTTTAATGTATTCAAAGGTAAGTTTAATGGTTTCTTGTAGAACTAAAATGAACTTAAACATACATTATGCAAGAGCTAAATCTGCCTATTGCAGGTCTTTCTTTAGGCCTGAAATGTTTTCTAAATTATTAACTCGACATTAATTAACTTATTCAGGCCATAATCAACCCTAGATGTCATCGGATTTCTCCGATATTAAATAGATTAGAACAGTTCAGACATATTTTGATTTAAGCTAAAAATGGAGGAGCGAGACTTAGCTTCGAACAACCAGTACGGTGGTTGAAATTATTGCGCACGTCTTGTCAAACCTTCAAAGGCTAATATCGTCGCTTGCAATAGAGTAATTTGAATGAAATTTTCAAATTATTCAATTTTACATTATAATCTATTTTCGAACTATTATAGTAAGAATAGCTAGCTCTTTATCTAAATCTCAAACAATGTAGCTTTAAGAAATATTGATTTTACAGTAATCTATAGGGGCACCGTTTGTTGACGTATTTGGACAAGATCATCCGAAATGGGGAAAGGGTAGTTTAAATACGCTATATTAAAAGATGAATGCTGAAAGGAAATGATTTCATTGATAAACAATTGTGGTTATCGTTCTTTCAAAGAGTAGTTTTTAATAGTACACTTTACAGAATTTATTACCAATTTTTCTACGATATATTAAACAATAGAATAAACCTGTAACTGTAAGTGGTATCAAGACTGATATTTTTATTGATACTTATCTCCTCACAATCTACGACTTTATAGATGTGGCCAGTGTCGCGCTCGGTTCAGAGTATGCCAGCTCTTCCGGAACGTTGATACTTCTTGGCTATTCGCTGCTTTCATATTTCCAACTCTTTTTGGACGTCTACTGACTTTTGTGTCGCATTCGTATTATGTTTCAATAGATTTTTTGCTATTTGGCTACGCTTTTGGTTCTGTTAGTTCAGAGCGAAAATCAGCCCACAATTAAACATACATTATGCAAGAGCTAAATCTGTCTTGAAATTTTAGGCTTGAAATGTTATCTAAATTATTAATTAGACATTAATTAACCTATCCAGACCATAATCAACTCTAAATGGCATCCCTAGCCTGTGATCTTTAGTGGATTATGAGCCGATTTACTGCATAACTTTCCATCACGATTTAACGATTAAATGGATAATCGAGACTGTGCTGTTTATCGTACTGATTTTAGTAATGATGATAGTGGATCAATTTGAATGAAATTTTCAGCAAATTGTTTTAACATTATCTAGTTTTTAACTATTATAGTGAGAACTGCCAACTCGTTATCAAATCTTCCATATCGTATCTTGAATAAATGTATATTTTAAATGTATCTTTCAGGTATTAAGAAGCGGGTATATTTGGATTTCGATGCTGTATCTCTCTCACTTGTACATTCACATTCCTCTGTACATTACCATGATTTTTCCTCTTGTATTTAGTTTCCATTGAAATAAAATGTTTTAAAAATGAGTGTGAATTCGGTCAAGTTTATTAAAATAATTATTCGGGGGTTCTTGTTGGAGTTTCTCTGTGTATCAGGAAAAACGCCAATGGTCCCACGAGCTAGCCCTTTACATACAATTAAAACGGGGTTGGGTGGTCGAGTAGTCTAACGCGTGCGTTTTACATCATGAGTCAACTGGCAGGGTTTCTATTGGTTGCACGTGGCAAAAAGTATGATCGTCTGTCCAATCACCTAGATTTTCTACGGGTCCTGCGACTGCTAAAGACCCCTACGCGTAAGCCTATACTCTTCATTGAATTCGTACTGTCGTGAAATACAGAGTACACTGGTGGCCCTAGGTCTTTCGTCGCGTCATAACGGGCCATAATAAGGACTAGACGTTTACCTTAAACACCCCTCTGTGCTCCTAAAAGAGCTATCGGGACCTTCTGATTAGTGAGCCAGTGCCATGTGCAATGTAGGCCCGTTGCTTCTTCTTGGTAATTATCTGTTTCACAGAGGTAATGCGAAAGCCTTCTTTTAACTCTGTAGAACATAATTGACCTGATGTCTCTTATATTATAGGTCTACGTGTGACGTCACATCAGACGGCACGATAGCATGTGCATTGTTTACATCAGACGTTGTGTAACACAAACTGGTCCGGGCAGAATGGCGCCTTTTACTTATTTTACGCCTTCGTGCATTATTTTACGTTCCCATTTACTCTAAATTGGAATATATTTTGACCCAAATATACTTCCAGCACATTTATTTTCTTCTTCATAATCTAACAGATTGTTATGGACTTTAATTTGCAGAAGAAAAAGTTAATATTAAGAGCTGATTTACTCGCTAATTAATGTCACCCCTTTCAGTGATCGTAGCGGCTCAGCGAATATTACTACGGATCAGTTTGATTTCTGATATGAATACTATTAAACATACCATCAGTAATTGTAATTATCACTATATAAATGAAATAAGAGGGCTAAATCCGCATAAATTGTTTGAAGCTAAAGGTTCTAAATGCTATAAATTATCCAAAGCTCATGGCATAATTACAATATAAAGTATTAAACTGTAGGAATGTATCATATTACTGACATGTTGAAATCACACTGTGAAAACTATTTATCATAATTAGTTTGTGGACTATACACGGATGTGTAAATATAATTTCGTTAAGCAGATTTATTTTATTAATAATTCAGAATCTGTATAACAATAACAAATATACCACTATATGGGTTATTGGATGTGGGACTAGGTCCTTACTTGACGTAAATCGCCTGACGTAGACTACGACAGCAATAACTCTTGTTCCCCACAACGTGAATAACTCGTCTCTTAAAAGGGATGTTGTTTTTTCCCCATTATTACTAAATAATCAAACTACATACCTGTAACGAGGTCTCGTGTGCAGAATGGTAGAATTGGTACACGTGACAAGTTTGGGCGAAACAACCGATATGCGACTCTAACTTTCGATGGGAATCCTATTGACAATACCTGATTATGAATGTCGATAAGAGTTTCACTTATTACCAGATGGTGTGACAGGATGGGCACTCAAAGCGCGAGATAATGATAAAGACATATGTGAATTAATGCTTTGCATCAATAAAGTTGAATCACAATGTATTCGTATTAATTCATAATAAAAATTGACGTCAAACAGGATGTTGGATTTCTCTGTTTAAAAAGCTCAATGTGTCTGTATATACGCCAAAATGAGGATAGAGACAACGTATTTCTCAAAAAATTTCAAGCCGAGGGGGGCGGGGATACATTTTCTCAGGAACCTGGCAAACCCGCTCCTGCAAAAATTCCTGGATCCGCCCCTGTCTTATAACTAACCAGTCTGCTGTACTTTCTTCTATTTAGAGAGCAATACTATATCTTCTATGACCTAATAATTATAAGTAGTTCACTTTAGAAATGTTAAACAGTTGGATCTAGAGAATGATTAAAAGGTTTTAGAGTCATACCGTGTATCCAGAATTTATGAAAATGTATAAATATATATTTAAGAGTTTGCAGAATCTAAAGACATACTTGAAAGTAAAACATTGGTGTCAGGAGGTGCATGGCTGGGAATGACTGGATAAACAAAACCCCGCCTGCACACCAATATATTCTATAGAATATCTGTTTAATGGTAAGACGTTATAGGTATTTTTCATTTATCTTAAGACTTATAGAGGATCTAATTTTAGAGCCTACATAATATATGTAGTTCATTGATAGACAATAAAATAAGAGGTATTTTTTTTTCGAAATTAACCAAATTTACATTAAGATTGAAAATAATGTGTATTTATATTAGCGGAAAGATTTCTCCTACATTTTTTAAACTACAAAGTCTTTGATCAGATCCTCCAAGCTAATTTTACGTATCATATTGACGTGGTATCCACAGAGGCGTGCTAGGCAGGTAGGTAGCCGCCTACCCTGCCCTCATAAATTCAGGAAACAAAAGTTTGATAACGGTCGAACCCGATAAGATTTCCAACTAGGATATAGGGGGTGGGGGGCTAAGTACCCTCTCCATCCTAAAATAGTGCCCTACCTTCTGAAATCGTATTCTCTATTCTAAAATAAGTACCCTCGAAATTCAAGTTATCTCAAATACTCATGTAAATGCCCGCGTCAATGTCATCATATTCCCATTGTCCTAATGACGATATTATTGCCCTCCTTTCCTGCTATCTTTCCCTTCATCCAACCAGATCCAGTGATACTAATAAAAACCAATCGCGTTCAATCTACGTTTATGTACCATCGATCACTCCTCGCTGCTGGTTTGCTTTCATCCTCAGTGGGACAGGGAACCAGTCAATTAAGCTTCTGTTGATCGACTGAATGTGGCTGTTTCTTTTTCGATTAGGGTGTGCGTGAATCAGTGTAAGTATTTCAGACAACGGATGGGTGTGTGTGTGTGGGTGTGTGTGTGTCAGGGTGTGTGGGGCACTTTCATGTGTGTTTAGATAGAAACTGGAACCGGTGATTTCGTTGTCCATATCTGTGGATAAACAACTGAAAATGATTTGCAGTATTTAAGTCAACATATCTAAATATCATGCAACCTAAAGTATCCCACATCTCAGACATTCATAAAACAAGCCACGTCCTTCATAAAATAACGTTTATCATATCCATATGGCTACGAAGCATCGACCCCCGCCAAAACAACCACCTCCTCCATAAAACAGCACCGTCCTTCATCACAACACAACCCTGTACCCTAGAACCCCTGTCGTAAATGAACTTTCACCTTACTACAGCGCCATCCTATATGATATACCCCGTTTTTCGTAAAAAAAACCCCACATGCGCGTAGCTTGGTCTCTGAAAACTGTACTTACCCATGCATGTAACAGTGAATTCTGTGAACGGAATACTGTTTAATCTATTAAATAGACTGAGTTTATTTTAATTGTTATACTAGAACTCACCGAATTAATTTATTAATTAAATTGAGTTGATTTTAAACAGATTATACTGGTACTATCTGAACACAGATTAATTATTAACTACTGAGATAATGTGGAACTGATATACCGGTACTCATCGAATACAGATTGATCTATTAACTAAACTGAGTTGATTTTAAACTGTTATACTAATGCCCACTGAATAGAGATAAATCTCTTAACCAGACTGAGTTGATTTTAAACTGTTAAACTAGTACTTCCCGGGTAAAGATTGATCTATTAACTAGACTGAGTTGAATCTAAACTGTTATACTAGTACCCACTGAATAAAGATTAATCTACAAACTAGACTCAGTTGGATTTTGAACTGCTATGCTAGTACCGAATACAGATTGCAATCTACCAACCGATGAGATGATTTTAAACTGTTAAAATTGCTAACAATGTTCATGTTCAGATCATCTCCTTAGGTACCCCAAATTTGATCTGTCTGCTCTACTTCGGCTTCCCAGTTCGCCTCTGGGTGAAAGTAGAAGGACTTTTCTTGAACCAGACCGTTTGTAATTTTGCAACGTATAGTGATGGTATATCCGGCAATGTCAAATTTGTGTCCCCTCTTCCCTTGATGCCCCAAGTGCGTGGTTATATTGCTTCATGGTAAATACTGCGCTGATTCTATTGTTTTTGTGGGAATCCTGCATTACAAAATCACAGCTCGGTATATGATGTGTTCTAGATATCATGGCGCAACACTTTTATCTAATTACAGCTAAATGACAACGACAAGAAAACATGGGTCTTGAAAAATCACAAAGAGTTTTCTTGGCCAACACAGGAATCGAACCTTAGACCTTCTGGATAGTAAGCCTGTGCCATACTGAATGAGGTACCATGACTCCGCCTAACCTAAACAATAGAAGACAGTCTTGGTCCCATTGCAGCAAAACGAGCAATGATATAAAAATGGCATTTGACAGGGTATGGCATCGTGACTTGATACACAAACTAAACTCACTTGGAATTAGAAATGGTGTTTTAGATCTCCTAAAAAGTTATTTATCCAGTTTTAAAAAAATCATATTCTGGCGTACACCAGGGGTGTGTACTGGGACCTCTCCTTTTTCTCATTTTTATTGCCGATATTACAAATGGAGTTAGGTCCCGATAAAGATTATTCGCAGATGATACTTCGTCCTTATTTCTAGTCATAGATAGGGTGCCCCACCGTAAATAAATAAACGGTCGTGTTGTATTTAACAAGTTATAACCATTTAAACATCAATAAAAAAAAATAGATTGAAAAGGTAATCCAATACATCTAACATTTTTTAGTTCAAATAGGTTACGTGCCCTTGGTTTGAAATTAGACCTGCTTAACTAGCCTACCGATCGTTCTCCGGCTGATTGACAGGCCTAGATAATCAATAAATCTAATTCGTTACGCAACTCAACAACTTTTACTGTTTTGAGAACCATGTAAATGCAAAAGGAAAATACTACTAGTATTCTATTCTTACCTAACGAAGAGGTCTCGGAGGTTTTACTTTTACTAAACCAAACGATGCCCCTCCTAACGATATAGTTAATATACAGCAAATTAAAAAACAAAACAAAACGTTATTTTCTAAAGTTGCTGTAACAACCAAAAAGCTAAATGTTTCTGTTATGCAGAATCGTCAATAATAGTTGATAGATGTGTTGAAAATTTCACGTGCGATGGCACCATAGAATATACCACGGATTATGCACTTGGTCGGTGTTTAGCCTATGTAAGCGCTTGTCAACCTGTCCTAACATTTCGTGTGGTGAGTTCAACTTTTAATAGAGCAAATTTCGACTGCGTTTTGGTATCCTATCATAGATATTCCGCCGACACCAAGACTAAACTGTACCCAACCGTATCCCACCATATTAACAAACTGTTTTGTATGGTGAACGACAATTTCAAATTATCCACTGTTATCTGCGTAACAATAAAAGTGATTTAAGATACCATAAGTTCCTTATGCATATTTATCACAGTCATCGAAGTGATCCCGACCTTGAAACCACTGAACACTTTCTACCCTACTGTCCAAACTACACACTCCAGCGAAATAATACCATTCATTTATTACCAATGTATTTTAGAAATATTACATGCCTACGGTAATGCCGAACTATCTCCAGACATAAACACCGATAATTTTAAAACTGTTTACAATTATATTAAACTTACAAAACGTTTTACTTCGTAAAATACAACCTTGTAACGAGGATTTTATTTATTTATAATTAAATAACTGTTTACAATTATATTAAACTTACAAAACGTTTTACTTCGTAAAATACAACCTTGTAACGAGGATTTTATTTATTTATAATTACTTATCTACTTATTTATACCATAACTAAAATACAGTAATTAATCTTTGTCTATATCATACATTATTTGAAATTGTACATAATATATATACCCAAACCAGAAGGAAGTAAATAATATAATTAAAGCCTACTTCACTTGGCTTGTTTTTCTATCCTATTCTTTATGACTTTATATTGTACAATATTTTCGAAATACTGTTTGGGGGATCACGTGGCTAAGTGGGTAAGACGCTGGCCGAGAAAGTTCATCCAGATTTTCCGGCGTGGTTCCTCCTTGTCAATGATGCAGGATGGAGAGCCTAACAGTAACAAGGACAGCTGTCTAGCCGTTCGGATGGGATGGAAAACCGAGGTCCCGTGTACACATTGGCGTGCACGTTCCTTGGAAGTTGGAATTCGATATAAGAGTAGGCCGTAGCGCCGCTGCGCGGGCAAAATTTCCCTCATAGCACACTGTATGGCGTATGCCCGTCTTCATTAGCCCAGGTTAGGAGCAGAACAGTAGGACGTTAAACCCCATTTCATTTCATTTCATTTCGAAATACTGTTTAATAGTTTAAACAAAACCAGCAATCTGTGTGTTATATAATGCTAAGTACTGCAACAATTTATAAACCATAGAAACCCCTCATATGAGATGTGACGATGGGTGTTCTAGAAAGGGAAACCATAACATAGTGTACGATACATGTCAATGGCAGAAAGCTAAATGGAGCAATAATTTGAACCTAGATGCCCTCGTAATTAAATAACGTTACTGAATATATTTAAATTTACGATTAAATCTACAAAAAAAAAAAAAAAAAAAAATAACCCCGACTTAAAATTGCAACGGAATTAAATACAAAACTATAAAAGCTTAGAGAGATAAAGAAAAAAAACCCTTGTGCAATTAATTCTCAACATGGCCTAATATTATTTAATTATGTTTAATCTATCAGGATCATGTTAAAGCTCCATGTACTCCATACTGTGTCTCAGCAGCGGCTCTTTGATACCACACCGTGTAGCTTCGTGACGTAATTTTAAGGGTACTTAATTGCTTAAATACAATTTTTATTGCAGATATGATCAAATTAGCCAACGTTACCGCAAGAGGAGGATCCGCTATACAGACACGTTACTTCAAAGCACTAAGAGAAATCTCGTGAACACTTTATTTTACAGATATATAAAATCTGCATTTATATTAATACGAAATAGTTGTAAAGTTTGTTGGAGTACGGGTTGTTATAGCAGGGACACAACAGAAAGGGCGATACCGTTTTCCTAGCTGCATTTCAGAGAAAGCATGACCTTTCTGATGTTGTTTTCTAGAACTAAATCATTATTGTAGAGAAAGGAACCATTCTTTCAAAATATCTGGAATCAGACCGAACATTTTTTTAAAAATTTATCTAATGTATACTATTAAATAAGGAGAGCGGAAGTCAAAGAAAGAGCAGTGAACGGAAACAAGTATCCATATCCAAGCTTATTGAAGAACAATCTGCCGCTTTAAACACGTTAAGAGAGAAAAGAAGAGCTTTGCGCATGGCACTATTACTACCATCTATCTAGACAATGGCTATGGTTTTGAACAGTAGATGACTCTTCAGTTTCGTGTTTTGTATCCTCTAACGTTTTAAAGACACAGTAAAAAAAGACCGCAGACATCTCTTTCCAGGGGTATCTTTGACCATCAGAATGAAGTTTCTATATAAAGGTCCTTCGTTATTTATTATAGGTAAGTAAACACTAAGTGCAATAACCCTTTAAAATTGAAATATTTTAAATACAAATTAGCTATACTTTCATTAATTATGAATTATGCATCGGGGTATTCAGGACAGGAATACACTGGAAACTAACTCCGTCGGACAGGAACCATCACAATTTTTTAGAGCATTAGAATTTAAATGGAATTGTGGTGTAGGGGATTTGCATAGAAAATATGCAGCCAAAAATCATTTCAGGCATATGGCAACACAATTGACCTGAAAATTTGTGAAATTGGACGAAATTCCACGAGTGTGGCATAAGATAATGCTAATAAGTAATAGATATGCCCAAAAATATTCAAATGTTAAGTATAGTCTGTCTAAACCCGCCTAGGGATAGTCTAATATAGGCTAACTAGAAACATTTTTCAAGATGAAATTTGCTCTTGAGATAGTTGGTTAATTATATTTATCCTTACACAATAAAAGTGATGATGAGAAATGTTGCTGATTTTATAACATATTTTTCGAATATCTAGCTAGTTTAGCAAGAGACTTGGTTGTTCTGATCTATAGGCCTAGGCTGCATCACTTTTCGCATTTTGTTCCAGTAAATTAGGACGTACATTTTTTTTAACGAAAACTTCAATCTCGTTCAAAACGTTTCTGTCCTTGTCATTGATACCCTATCCTGTAAACTTCCCGGGATTAATCAATTATTCCTAAGGATGAACCCTTTTGAATTTTACGATTTTTTGCAGTGTTACTGAATCGACACGAAGCATATAATGCGATCTATGTTTAAAACTTGCTGCGAATTTTTCAAGCTCGTCAGCATCATTCGCCTAGTCGAAAAGAGGAAGCGTATCAAAATTAAAAATTTCTCATGGTTAAGTATTGCCACTAAGAGCGAAACTTGCATAGCGACATTCAAGGGGCAGCTGGTGGGTGCTTATCCTTTGCTTGGCAACGCTTTATTTGTTTTTAAGCTACATTTATTAAATATTTAAAACTCTTATTTATTTATATTTTCAGTTCTATCGTATATACTAGAGTGCAGGGCAAGCCCCAGCTATAACGAATATTCAAGCATGGAAGAACATTATCCTGCGTACTCGTATGCTGCATCATATGATAGTGGCAGTTCTGATTTAGGCTACTCAAGTATTTATGACTCGGGTTACTCGAGTTATTCGGACAGTAATTCTTATGATTCTGGACCTGTGCCGCTCATCGATTATTCTGCTTTAGGAGACTACTCGTATGACAACCCATTCCCTATAGACTATGGTTCGTCCTTGTATGGTTCATCTGGATCTTCAGGTTCCTCTGGTTCTTCAGGTTCCTCTGGATCTTCGGGTTCCTCTGGATCTTCTGGTTCCTATGGGTCGTATGGTTCTTCTGGTTCATCCGGGTCATCAGGTTCATCTGGATCTTATGGATCATCAGGTTCATCGGGTTCATCTGGATCATCAGGTTCATCTGGATCGTATGGATCATCGGGTTCAGTGGGATCATCGGGTTCAGTGGGATCATCGGGTTCATCGGGATCGTTCGGAGGCTCCCTTGGATCATCTGGTTCATCGGGATCGTTCGGAGGCTCCCTTGGATCATCTGGTTCATCGGGATCGTTCGGAGGCTCCCTTGGATCAGGATCGCTAGGTGGCTCCCTTGGATCAGGATCGCTAGGTGGCTCCCTTGGGTCGTATGGTGGCTCCCTTGGATCAGGATCATTAGGCGGCTCCTTTGGGTCGGGATACGTCCCACAGTTACCGAACCTAAATGTCCCGCCGTTTGACTACCCACCATTAAACCTCCCTCCGTTTCCTTACAACCCTTCCCAAGTTTCACCTTATGATACACGAATTGGTCAAATACCTATGGGTACAAATATTCCAATAGGGGGACAAACAAATACTGGCCTGGGCCAAAACAACTTGCCAAGAGTCAACCAGAACAACTTTCCCTTGCTCATGTTTTCACTTTTTAGAAGATTACTTCGGCGACCTGGTTTCCAACAAAGATCACGGTACTACCCCAGACAACCTTACTATGCCTCACGGCGATTTCCCTATTATTCACCATTTGAGTCTTATATACCACGAATGTATCCAAGGACATTGCCTTTCTCGCCAGGAATACTACCCGTACCGTACTACAGTCCACCTGCTTTGATGCCAACACCATCTGTAGCTTTTCCATACTCCACTCGAGCTTTACCAATGGCTACTACGACCCCTGCTAGTATCCCAACGTATCTACCACTATTTTGCTCCCAGACGCAACAAATAGCCGCCGTCCCAACTCAGTATGTTTCAGTTCCCCAACCCGCTACAACACGAACTATACCCATCGTTGTTGTTCCAAATTCTGTTGCAAATGTCCCAAGACAGTCGACTGTCGTAAGGTCACAACCTACTTTTACCATACCAGCTATCTCATCAACCCCTGTTGTTGCAATACCTTCATCACCATTTGTTGCCATACCGTTACCGGCTGTACAAACATCAAACCCTACATCATATGGAATACCCATTTCCACTAACGGCATCTCATCTCCAGCCCAATCAACTGATGCTATTGGTAGATCGATGACATCAATCATCAGCGCTATTCCACCCAATTCATCAGGTGCATTATCATCAGTGGCATATTCACCAACTTCCCAGTCCCAGTCTAATTCCTATCCAGTACCGTCTGCTGTATCTCAAACAAATCCTTTTATTTCCACTAACGGCATCTCATCTCCAGCCCAATCAACTGATGCTTTTGGAAGATCGATGACATCTATCATCAGAGCTATTCCACCCAATTCATCAGGTGCATTATCATCAGTGGCATATTCACCAACTTCCCAGTCCCAGTCTAATTCCTACCCAGTACCGTCTGCTGTATCTCAAACTAACCCTTTTATTTCAACTAACACTAACGGTATTTCATCTCCAGCAGACTCAACTGATGCTATTGGCAGATCAATGACATCTATAGTCAGGGCAATTCCACCGAACATGTCAGCAGCATTATCATCCGTTGCATATTCACCAATTTTCCCATTTACATACCCCCAAGCTAGTTCCTACCCAGTAGTTTCTGGAGTACCATCATCCATTTCTAGTAACGGTATATCATCTCCAGTGCAATCAACTGATGCCATTGGTAGAGCACTGACATCAATTGTCAGAGCTATTCCTCCCAATATGTCTGCAGCATTATCATCAGTGGCGTATTCACCAATAGGCAGAAGATAAGGTATGTTTTTGTTTTGTAGTATATATCGTAGAATAAATAAAAATGACCAAAACGCATTCAATATATTAAAGGTAACGATGAATATGTAGATGTATGTAAAAAGGCGTTTCCACCTTCTCCAGGATAAGATACCAACATTTCGTAGACTATTTTAACTAGATTTTAATTTTCAATCAATTTCTATTTATGCGATACGTTATTACAACGAACAATGATACTTTTGGTGGAGAATTTGCAATACTCGATAATACTTCTCATAGCTAATAGATTTTGTTACTGTACGACAGGGTTGATGGGTCGGTTGTCCACACTAGTTCAGTTCCGATGCTGGTTATATTTAGTCTTTAGGCCTGAAATGTTATCTAAATTATTAATTAGACATTAATTAAATTATCCAGACCATAATCAACCCTCGATGGCATCGCTAGCCTGCGATATTTACTGGATTATGATCCTATTTGCTGCTCGACTTCTATTCATAATTTAATCATGAAGTGGATGATCGAGCATATGTTTTTTTTATCGTACAGACTTAAGTAATGATGATCGAAGCTATGCCGAAATTTCGATCGCTTAATTCTCGGTTCATAGTGTCTCAATTTGACTAAAATTTTCAGCAAATTGCCTTTATATTATATAGTTTTTAACTATTAACTATATAGTTTTTAACTATTCGATCGCTTAATTCTCGGTTCATAGTGTCTCAATTTGACTGAAATTTTCAGCAAATTGCCTTTATATTTTATAGTTTTTAACTATTATAGTGAGAACTCCCAGCTCTTTATCATATCTCCCATAATGTATCTTTAAGGTTTCACAGATGTATGCATTTATTTTTGCAGGTTTCACCAATACAGTTGTCTTAGTATCAAATTCAACAAAGGGAGCTGTACCAGAGAAACTCAACCCAGATTTACCATCTCCACTATTCAGGACTTGCATGGCAGCTTTATAGTTACAGTAGTATTGAAATAGAAGGTGCCTGCTTTGTCATCACATTTGTAAAAAGCTGTATACTCATCCAATATCCATATTAAATTTACTTCATGATCGGTTTTATTGACAAAAATGTAATGGTAATTATCAATTGCAAAAAATTACTTTCTGATTGTAAGTGCTTCTGAAAACTGGATGTATATAAAGTGCATACTACTGTAAACTTCAAATGGTGCAAACTTAATTTGATCGATTCAAATAATCTGTGGGACAATGTTATTATTATTTGAGTTCCGTTGGTTTTTTTATACTGAGATGGGCTTAATTACACCAGCAATAGTCTGTACACACGTTAAAATAGTACACGTTGTAAGTTTGGCGTGAATGTGAATCACCTGGCTTATTGTGTCTGTAATGTCTCGAAAATGGACCACACAATCGGTTTTAATCCCATCACTGAGACGCCAGTATGAATTGTATCACCTTCTATTATGACTTTTAATTATTGATTCAAAAACTGCCCAGAAAGTTATTTTGCTTATAACCGTCAGTGTATTGTATACTTGGTAGTCTATTAAGTTCGGATTATTCTAAAACGAAACGTAACATTTAAGTATAATCTTGGTATGAAAATCAAGCCTGAATCGGTTCAAAGTAAAGTTATATTTTACTTTTGTACTTAATATCTGTATTTTATAATAAAATGGACGTGGTATGTAAATTATATGTACATATTATATCTGTATAATATTCTATAATAAATGAAAATCTATAAAAATAAATTGTGTTGTATCTTTGACTTGGGGTCATTTCAGGACTAACACGTGGTTCAATTTTATTCTAATAATTCGCTTGAGCGTAGGGGGCTTTAGCAGAAGAGAACCGGGGGACCAGGAGAAAACCCACGCGGTTGAACATGCGATTCTACTCTTTGTCACGCAGCAATCCAACCTGAAATGAAATGGGGTTTAATGTGTTGCTTTTCTCCACTAAACTGGCCAGAGAAGACGAGCATACAACATATTCTGTGTTAAATTTCACCCTGTTAACCTACACTTTAATGTACACGGGGCCTCGTTTTTGGACACGCCAATAGACCCTGTTTTCAATTCTTTTTGCACTATCCATATTTGGCTAATGCTTTGCGTCATTGGTTATATTGAACCAATTAGCTAATAAATAACCTGGTGCCAGGGATATAAAAGACCAGAAATCGACCCGGCTAGGAAGACCCCTTATAATTGATAGGAAATGAAACGAAATGGGGTTCAACGTCCTACTGTTCTGCTCCGAACTGGGCTAATGAAGACGGGCATACGCCATACAGTGTGCTATGGGGGAAATTCGAATTCCAACTGTCAAGGGATCTTTTACGTGCACGCCAATGTGTACACGGGACCTCGGTTTTTCGTCCCGTCCGAACGACTAGACATCTCTCCGTGTCAGGCCCGCCGTCCTGCATCAATGACTATAATTGATAGGAAGAGACGGTGTAACGTTTCCAGCAATTAACCCTCTGGATAGAGGGAGCTGAGTGGGCTGACAGAGAGAAACATTATTTTTTAGTTACATCTAGACTTGATACTTGTGCCTATTTTTGTAATAGCATAGCTGTTTTAAACTTTAAGGAGAGTTATTATAGAGATATATACTCTTCAAAAAAAGTAGAGGATATTCAGAAACAATACAAAACTGTGGAAATGCACTGCTGTTTTTATTAGAGGTAACCAGTGTATGTTAATAACAGGCCAATTGCCTACACATGAACATAAACAGTTCATATCGGCGGCTTATCTGACGGGCCCGTTTGACTCGCAAAGAGATACACCGTCAAAAGTGAAAATGGACGTTTTTGATTTTTGTCATAATAATGAGTAATTGCTCCACCAATCCCCAGACATTCATCAATTCATCGTGACATGCTCCTAACCAACCGTCCAATCACGATTTGGGGCAATCTGATCCACTCCTTTTGCAGTGCTACGGCCAATTCTTGCAGTGTTGTCGGTTGATGTTGACGTCGACGAACACTTCTCCCGATCAAATTAAACGTAACACACTAAAGCAAAGTTACGCTAAACAGTAAATCTTATGCAAGAACCGATAGGAAAGCAAACATGGATAGGATAAACCAGCAAACGGCAGTTTTCATCAACCCTTCCTTGAAGTGTCAAATTTGACAATGAACCCCTCCCACGTGTATGGCGCTTTTGCGTGTCGCATGTGCAGCTCAGTGGTTCTGCTAGGGCAATAAGTTCTTCATCTGTGAACATACTCTCAAAGCATGTCAAGTGTCCATGACTATTTATCATATCACAACCTGCATAGGTATTTGCATTTCAATATCACCTACTTTTTTAAAGAGTATATTACAAGGCATATATTGTCTGTGGGCAAGACAACTTCTTTGTCTCATTTTTAGTCAAATATTTTAGTCAGTAAATGCAACAGCGTGAAGTCTAGGATTAGGGAACTGCAATGGCATACACACTAGTAATACCTCGGCGATCAGTAGCCGAAATATAGAATGTGTAGCAAAGATAGCGTTACACGTCGCATTTAGTAAGCTCGTGGTTTAGCTTTCATATTCTATCGGCTGTGATACACTAGTGAGTCAACGCCACATCCACCGAGCCCCCCCTGAGCCCCCCCCACCCCCTGTATTTAAATAACCCTCTCACTAACTGCGTTGGCGTCTGAGACCAAGTCCAGGGCCCTGTTTCTCGAAATTTTAACAAAAGATAAAATCCAATTTTAGTAGATACTTCAATTTTGATTGGCTAAGCACTAAAATCAATCTAATATTATCCAATCAAATTACTAAAATTTGGATTTTATCTTAGTTAAAATTTCGTGAAACAGGCCCCAGGTTAACTATAATCGGTGTCGTGCATGATTCTTTAACAACCTAGTCCGCATTGTCGGATGGGCACACACGTAATTTCAGCTGCACCGGGTTCGATTTGGAAAATGATAACCAAGATTCAAATTATTATGTAGTTTTTGTTGGCTCTAATTGGGCTGCACCACTAAAATACACCGGACACCTCTCTATGGATTATAATTACTGTTTATTACAGAACAACTTTTTTTGACTAGAATTGTGTGCTTTGTACAGGGGCGGATTCATGAAGTTTTGCAGAAGGGGGTTTGCCAGATTCCTGTTATGAAAATTTTACAGTTGACAATGCATGATGCCAATGCATGATGTCATCATCGTCTCCAAATTACGTAGCAATTCCATTGATGCAAAGCATTAATTGTGATATCACATATTAGGATTATATCATTATCTCGCGCTTTGAATGCCCATCCCATCCCGCGATCTTATGATTAGGCATAAAGCACACGGGTGTGACACTTTTACAATTTTTTATGTAGCTGAATGGGGGTGGGGGAGGTCTGGATCCGCCCTGGTGTATAGGAGACCAGAGATCACTTTTACAATAGAGGTCATGTACGGACTACATCAAGTCTAGAGAGGATATGAAAACAGTTTTATATCAAGAGTGAGAGAAAAATGGGGTTTAACGTCCACTCGACACAAACTAGGTCATTTCGGGACTAACACATGGTTCAATTTTATTTCAATATTTCGCTTGGGCATTGGGGTCTTTAGCAGTGGGAGGAAACTGGAGTTTATATAAGCACTTTGGCACGTTACTGCATCCTATTCACTTACATTTGTAATACTGATCTTCTCTTGAATAAAATACTGATTAAACCAGAACGGATAGAGATAAATTATCTCAAAGTCATTTAGTAAATGAACTGAAAATACACTGAATACATTTCTTTAAAACAGAATTACCGTTTATTACTCGGCAACGTTTCAACTCGAATTGGGTCCTGTGTATAGGACAACGATGTTTACAACCACATAAATATATTTTGTAAGGAAGTGCTAGTAGATGCGCACTGGGGACCTTGTTACTTTTAACGGATAATAATTAATAATGCATTAGTAAAGCTAATGACTGTCCCAATGGGGTCTGTGTGAAATTGAGCAGGAAGTTTGCGTTTTTTTATGGGTTTATAGTTTTAATCTCATTAAGATAAATAAAATAATTTATTTTTACAATATTATATTAATCTCCAGTTTTAACTTCAATCAGGATTCTTGCTCTAATGACATCAACCCTACCTCTTCCTCGGATATCACCGTTTCACGTGGCATAACATCTCTAGAGAAGATAATTAATACTACATATATGACAAGACCTGAAAGATAAAACAATTGAACATAATTAGTAAAGGCAATATTTCCTTTACTTTCCCAGAGGAGGGTGGACGAGAGAATGAGAGTGGTGGTGGTAGAAAGAGAGAGAGAGAAAGAGAGAGAGAGAAAGAGAGAGAGAGAGAGAGAGGCTAGCAGACAACGGGGTCGAAGCAGGGACTGGCTAGTGATAATATATCTTGCTTAACATATAAATAATACACCTGCAAAAAAAACCAACACAAACGACAAAATTAAAAATGAGAAACTTCAATGATGTTTGTTGAAGCAACTAAGCGTCCAGCATGGTTCTGATTGTATTTACAAGGAGGTCCACTAACACAAATACACCACATCTAAACAGAACAAAGTTAAAGATGCATTATGCAAAAGACAAATCTTCCTATTACAGGTTTGTTTTTGGCTTCAAATGTTATATAAACAATTATTGAAACATTTATTAACACGACAGGCCCGTAATCAACTTTCTGGGTCACTGGATGGCTCCAACTTAGCAGATTATAACACAGTCGCCATTTAAAAGTTTAATAATAAAATAGATAACCGAGACCTAGTCCCGACTTTCAAGTACCGTTGCTACGAAAATAAACAATCTAAGTAACATCTTCAAACACTTTATAACTTCGCTCAGAACAAAGTAGTTGGAATTAAATTTTCAATATATTCATTTTTCATTATCTATTTTCAAAGTATGATAGTAAGAACGACCAGCTCTTTATCTGCAACTTTTACAAATATTAAGCATATAGCTGTAAAGATGTTTATTTATGCGATTCTGTTGTATTCAATCAGTATTCTTCGATACATCCGGTAAACACGGTCATTTACACAGATAAAGATATACGCTTTTGTGGTTATTCGAATATTGAATACCATATTTGTATACCATGTTTCCACTTTAACAAACATAAAAGACTATATAAATATTTATTCACTTAAAGATACAATATGGGAGATTAAATAAAGATAGTTGGCAGTTCTCACTATAATAGTTAAAAAATAGACAACGTAAAGGGAATTTGCTGAATTTTCGGCCTAGCCTCGAACATCATTACTAAAGTCGGTACGATAAAAAACATAGTCTCGATTATCTATTTCATGATTAAATCATGAATGAAAGTTGAGTAGCAAATCGGATCCTAATCCAGTAAATATCGCAGGCTAGCGATGACATCTAGAGCTGATTATGGCCTGGATAAGTTAATTAATGTCTAATCAATAATTTAGATAATATTTCAGGCCTAAAGAAAGACCTGAAATAGACAGATTTAGCTCTTGCATAATGTATGTTTAAGGAAAGTTCAGAATTGTATGGTATCCATGATCAATATTTCAAGTCCCTTCACAATCCTTTATTTTCCTTTAAACTAGAAAACACATTTATATGCTAAATACGAAAATACATTAATAGTTTCAAAAATCTATGTTAGATCGTTATTTTAAAAAATAACATTACGCCAAAATCAATATCAGATGTTCTTCAGCACAAAATCAGCTCTTGCATAATGTATGTTTAAGAAACTCCAATTAATATTGATTTATCATAGGATGTAAATTGGCTATATTTACCTATGAATATTAAAACAATAAATGTTATTAAACCATTTAGGTCAATGGAGTAGACTAATAACATCATATTCATTGCTATTATTATAACTGGAAGAAAGGGAACAAACGGCACCTGCAATAAATAAACAAAACAAAATAATACGAGACATTAAATAAAATTGATATAAAATAATACAAATTTAATAGAGCAAGTTCTTTGATTTATGTGTTATTGCGATTAGGCGTGGGTTATGCCATTAAAGTTTTGTTTGAAAAGATTAAGCGACAACCCACAGGTGTACTAAATTTAGTAAATTCATTTTCGGCACACAGTTTCGACATACGAACACGATCTGATTAAAACACAGATCCTATTTCGTTTCGTTTATTATAGTTCAAAACGAAATATAGATCTGTAGTTTAATCACATCGGACATTGGAACACACGGAATAATCAACGGATATAACCCAATAATCAAATCCATATGAGCAGCCATTAACCAATATATTATAACAAAATAGATGGGGTCTTTTCAACTATGAGAAACCGGGATACCCAGAGAAAATCCACTAAGTTAGACAAACAGCCTAACTGGAATCAATGGCTACTCGACCATCATATCCACTCTCAAATCTAAAATGTATAAAGGACAATCAATTCAAGACAACTTCTTACCTTAAAACTATCGCCAGTCGGTGGTTTCAGTTTTAATTTTATTATAAAACTAATACCAACTATCAATAGCGTAAACAAGATCACAGTACACAGTGCTATAATATTAGGTTGGGAGGATAAAACAGGTGTCCTTTGTATCAGCAAAGCAACCATCAAGGATATTACAACCAGAAAAAATATTAAAAATCCTACACTGAATTTATCTATTATTTTAGATATCTGACATTTTGATATCATTGTCTTTCTTTCAGTGTCATCCACAGCTGATGGATCTGAAGTCCTTGACCGTAAGATTACTATATTAGAACTTATTATGATGTTGATCACAAAAAGAGTCAGAACGTTGAACTGAACTAAGTCTGCTATATCCAAAAACAACGAAGATAACGCCACAAAAATCCCAATAGACATTACACCGACCAGAGGAACTTGAGTCTTTTTGTGGACCACACCAAACACCTTCAAGAATAATCCATCATTCGCCATGCAGTATGCGTGTCGGGAAGTACTGTACAAGTTCAACAAGCTCAGGTTACTGATACCCAAAACAGGCCCAATAGTCACCACATACTTCGCCCACTGTATATTGTTGAGCGCAAAAGCCGATGGAATAGGTGCTTTAGTATCGATGAGGTAAACGGGTGCCAGCATGATCAAGGAGAACGATGATCCTGCATACAGAAGAGTCACAATAATCAGCTCGAAAAGTATTGCTCTGGGTATAGATTTTAGTGGAGTCTTCGATTCTTCTGCGGACAAACAGATAACGTCAAATCCTTGGAAAGCATAGAAACAGGCCGACGTCGCCACAATCACTCCCTTAACACCAAACGGGAAAAATCCCCCGTGATCCTTATTTATGACATTTTCAATGTTTCCAAAAATAAAACCCATCATTGTAACGAAAAGGAGAACAGAGATAGAGACCATAGAAAGAACAAAGTTCACCTTAGCCGAGGCATGGATACCCAAAGACACTATCACAAGTACGGTAAGTTCAAAACAAAACGCTACAAGATCAAGGGAGTGACTAAATGGCGGCCCTAAGTTCATAGTTCCAAATACACCAATCGTTTTATTATGAATAGCGCCGTCGAATAAAGAATCAAAATATCCACTCCAAGCTCTACAACCTATGGCCCCAGACGTCAAGTAGCCTGAAGTTAAAAAAAAAAGATAAGTAACTGTTAATTATTGAAGAACATAAAATGAACTTGGTGTTTTGCCGCGCATTAATAACATGGTTTTGTAAATGTTTTAAGACCCAATACAATGCCACTTCTCGTTGTCTAGGTTAAAGCTGCCACATTACCCGTTCTTCATAAGCAAGAACTAAATAACAGTGACGACAAGGGTTAGTGTCTCGAGAAGGTGCCGGAAGATGATGAGTAAGAAGTACTAAACTGGCATCATGTACTTGTCTTGCTGGACCATCAGCTGGAGGTTAAAATCAAAACGTCCTCTGGTGATATCAAAAGCAGGCACTAGTCTGGGAGACGAATATATAAAAATATAACATCTTACCTAACAAAATGAGCCATCCAACGAGAAACGCCATTATTTCACTCATACTCTCATAAACATAAGTATAGGAGCCACCGGTCTTGGGAATTCGGGATCCAAATTCCACAAAACATAGGGCATTCATCAAAGTAACAATTCCCGCCAGTATAAACGATATCAGCATACTAGGTCCTGAAATGAAAATTAAGTCACAATGGATTAAAAACTGATAGCATGAATTCTGTTAAAATTATCCGAGTCAATGTTCGGCAATAAGAAAATTTGTATTCGTTGATAGCGTCTTCGATATCCAATTCCACGCGAATGTGTACACGGGTGGACCTCGTACATTTTTCATTCAATTCGAACGACTGAGTATACCCTCCTTGCCAGATTAACAGCTGCAGAACCGGGCAACAAAAATCCCAAAGGTTCTTCTTGGCCCACGCTGGAATTCGAAATCGCGATATTGAAGACGAGAAGCCAATGCCCTAACATACGACTACTGTGGCCACCTCGACAACACAGTCCATCATCATAGACTGATTATCGAAATTATTGGATAAAAGATAACCATTATTACCCCGGTAGCACCACCCGACATTGCTGTCGTCCTTCTCGACTCTCTGGCGATGTCTCAAAAAAGTAAAACTAAACAAACTTGCAACTGAATACATATAACATCCAGTTTGGAAACATACCTGCATATTCTTTAGCTGCCACGCCCACTAACACATATATACCCACACCCACAGTTGCTCCAACTCCCATAAAGGTCAGATGAAAGGTGGAGAGATAGCGATTTAATGCAGTGGTGGTATCACTACTCTCAATAGTCTTTCTCCTGGTCATTCTGTACCACAGATAACCACATCTCTGGCTCATATTTAAACACGTCATGGTTGCGGATATCATCAATGGATTACCCAGTAACAGACGTCTCTGAATATATAAACATATATATCTTTACAATTAAAGTGGCAAGACATGGAATTAGATAAAACAGGATTTCATAGCCCTAATTTAATGCACTAAACAGGCTAAGGCAAACGGGCCCATGGTTAATGAGTTAACGTCATACTCACTCATCCACCGTGGCTCCCAAATGACAACAGTCTATAATAAAGCACAAATACAGAGAGTAAGACATCACACAATCAAGCAACATATTTACCAATTGTTCATTTCGATCAATATAAAGTTATAGCATTTTGGTGTTTAGAATAGTTTCATTGATTTAAATACATTGATTAACCTAAATTATTATATAAACAGTATATTTGTATTTCCTTTTGATAAATGTAAATAATTCTTGGCCATCTGCCATGGTATCTCTCTTGCATCAGGATGAATAATCATCGATTTGATTATTGAGTATAACCGTGTGGGATGAGAATAACCGCCAGGTGTTTGTAGGGATGCACTGGGCAGTAAATGGTATTTTAAATGATATATTATTATTTATAGTGTCTATGTATTTTGTATGTAACATTGTCTTGCTTGGTGGTTTGTCTTTTTGGTTAATAATTATTGTTACGTGTGATTTTGTTACTATTAAACAAACATAGTTTAGAGGTATAAGATCAACTGGCTATTAAGTTGTTAACCCGTCACCACTTTTCAAGCCGTCATTGGGGTACGACTTTAATCCCATCTATTGTTTTTGTTGATTTATTATATTGTTAACCCTTTATGCATTGTTCATCTATCGACATGTCAGTTTTAATTAAAACTTTTGCTTTTATCCTATTATCTTATTTTCCTTAAATATAACAAAATTTGCACAATGAAGACAGTCACTAGTTAGGATCCCTTACTAAGTGCAGTAACTGGTCTGTCAGTACTGTATGACGATATATGTATATTTATGTTCCGGTATATTAAAGAATTGAAGAATCATTTAAGTGGTTAATTAAAAAAATAATAATTATATTAGCGATTGCTGATTATAATATCACACCATTATGATAGTAATACTACTTTTTACATCCGGTTGTGTAATGACAACAGACGGTACATTACATGTAGAATAATACAGAATGATTTAATTTTGAGATATCTGAAGAATCTGGCTCGGTGTCCCTTGAAGGATATCTTAATGGGTTCATGTATAACTTAGGTTCATTCACGGGTTTTTCACGAATTCAAATTATCCGCCCTTGATACTTGTGGTATTTTATTTGGAACTAAGAGCCGAATCGGTGTGGTGAACGTGAACGATGACGCTAAGACTGGTATGTGAACCGTTTTTGATTGGTTCGTAGAATTAAACTACGATCAAGGACAGATAATTTAAATTCGTGAATGAACCCAGGGTATAGTGGAGTAGAACGGAACGATGCCACTGGGAATGCCGAGGACGACTTGTCATGAATAACGCTAGAATGGCTGGCAAGAAATATATACTTGAATTGGCAGATCATTTCAGTAAATAACACGTTTCAGATATCAAACATTTGATTTCTGGTTGATCAGGTTGTCTAACGCCTGTACACTGTCACTGAGTCAAGTAGCATGGTGTCTCTATCCCAAGCTTGTACGTCATAGGGAGCAGGGTTACCTTCCCAAAATCATGGCTTTATCCTACCCAAATTATTGAAATAAAATTGTACCACTCGGTCAATTTCACAGCCAGCCAGTCAAGCCTGCAAATATGACGGAAACGAGATCCCAGCCATATAACAAGCTTCGAGTTATTATTGATATATATATATATTATTGATAGGTTGTTATAATCTTTTTGTCGTTCGGTAAATTTTATGATTTCAAAGACTGTAAAATCGTACTTTTGTCCAAAATACCCGGAAATAGGATATATTTCTCGAAAGTTGCAAGTTTTGTCTAAAAAGTATTATCATTGCACGCAATATGTTCTAATTATTGATTTTAATCTATTTCATTGAATTAATGTTGCTGTGGATGTGGCATTATCTCTTTTCGCTGATTTAATATATACTAACTGGCTCATTATAATATTAATACTAACACAAGGTACAATTTTATGGATACACAATTACTGAGTTTGATACTAAGCGACGTTTCAACGAGGATACTCACATATTTGTATCATTTGCTTGATAAAGACGAGAGTTTCCTCGTTGAAACGTGGCTTAGTGTTAAATTCAGTAATTGTTTATCCATAAAATTGTACCTTGTGTTAATATGTTCAATTACTAAATGCCAATCAAAGAAGATAATATCAATATATACACATGAACACTTCTTCTTTATTAGAGAATTGGGACGGGCTGTGAATTAATTTGACTCTTCTACGGTATTTTGGTCTAGTAGATTTGGGCCTTGGCGAATACCTTTAGAACTGTTATAAACATAAAAAATATCCGTGTGTCTAGGAAATGTTGTTTCTCATGTGATTGCACAATGACGAAGCTATGTTTTCCGCGTTCATTTACATTTTATCTATCTTTAAGCATAGATTGATTTTGTGCTGAAGAACAGCTGATATTGATTTTCATAATCGTAATGTTATTTTTTAAGATATCGATCCAACATGGATTTTTGAAACTGTTAATGTATTTTCGTATTTAGCATACAAATATGTTTTCTAGTTTAAAGGAAGATAAAGGTTTGTGGAGGGACTTTAATTATTGATCATGGGTACCATACAATTCTGAACTTTCCTTAACTAGAGAGCAATGTTATAGCAGATACCCCCTCCCCTAACATAGCAAGGCTTTGTTTAGGAGAAAATTCTGACAGATATTGATATCGTATAATCGGGAACTCTTGAACAATGCTATAGAAATGAAATGAAATGTGGTTTAACGTCCTACTATTCTGCGCCGACTGGGGTAATGAAGACGGGCATAAGCCATTCAGTGTGTTATGAGGCAAATTTTGCCCGGACAGCAGCGCTGCGCCTACTCTTATATTGAATTCTAACTACCAAGGGATCTTTTACGTGAACGCCAATGTGTACACGGGATCTTATGTTTTCGTCCCATCCGAACGACTAGACAGCTATCCTTGAAAGGCCCGCCGCCCTGCATCACTGGTGAAACCACGCTTGAAAATCCTTATGAACTTACTCCACCAACGCCGGGAGCGAACCTGTGACCTAGACGCTAACGAGCCAGTGTCTTACAAACTTAGCAACCGCGACTCCTACCAATGTTATAAAAGCCCCCCCCCCCCATGGATACCGCATAATTGAAGCTATAGCAGCGTCCTACCCTGTATGCTAATACAGGTACATGTAAATTGTTCTGTTTAATTGACTATAAAGAGAGTTTAGATAAAACAGTAACCCATATTATTATAATAATAGTGTAATATGATAAGAGCACAATATTAAATCTATAAGTGCCAGCTGTTAGAAGACATTAAGTAGCGCCGGACTAGACTAAAGGGTCATATATTATAGCTCTTCACTTTCATTCGTTGTCAGGATTTTCCAATAGGTATGGGTAGGGGAATAGCCTCCTGCAATCAACATACGGGTTTTAAAACACAATCAACAGAAATAATAACACCTTAGCATCGAATCAAACATGTTGAAATTAGCTCATAAAACTTCAAGGTTACGACTACATGTTGATTCACACCGATCAATGTTGTATGGTATATTGCCTTCGTTTTATACACACCATATGTGATAATATTGATTAAAATTCAAATGAATATGACACGCAATACATAATCAGAATCAGAATCAGGCCTATTAATAACCAAAGTTAGTTATATAGGTTAATACCGTGTATTAGTAGACTGATAGATTTACTAAATGAAATGGGGTTTAATGTCCTACTGTTCTGCTCCTAAACTGGGCTAATGAAGACGGGCATACGCCATACAGTGTGCTATGAGGGAAATTTTGCCCGGACAACGGCGCTACGGCCTACTCTTATATCGAATTCCAACTGCCAAGGGATCTTTTACGTGCACGCCAATATGCACACGCGACCTCGGTTTTTCGTCCCATCCGAACGAATAGACAGCTGTCCTTGTCAGGCCCTCCGTCCTGCATCACTGACAAGGGGAAACCACGCCGGAAAATCTGGATAAACTTTCTCGGCCATTGCAGGGATCGAACACCCGACCTCGATAGATTTACTACTAGCATTACTCTCTAATAGTTTGGAATACATCATTTTGGTATTTAATGTCGATTCGTATCTTTAAACCCGTACTCCTCTAAATGATATAGCCGTGAGAAAAATTGACTTTTTGCCTAAAAGTAGGACGTTATACCCCATTTAAGTAGAACGTTTCAGTCTGGCAAATTTTACTGTGGTATGTTTAATTTACGTTTGATTGCAAATTTATTATATGGGTGATAAGAAACCCAAATACAGAAGCACTGGTTGGAATTTGATTCTCAAACCATGTGTCCCACTCGACACAAAGTAGGTTATTTCAGGACTAACATAGGGATTGTAGCTTTGGGAGGAAACCGGAGAACACGGAGGAAACCTACCAGGTAGGACAGGCGATCCAGCTATCCATATGACTCGACTCAATGATACACTTTGCGATCTAAGATAGGATGACATATCTTAGTACTTACAGCAATGGCGAATGTCAACCAAGTTTGTTTAGCTAAAAGGGTGATCCTGCTTGTAACACGACAATAGACAAACTACTGAGTCGAGGGGCGATAACTTATGCTGGCATTAGAAGTCGTCGATACGGGACATGTGGCCACCCGTTTAATAACAGTCTGCACTGTTTATTTATGCGCAATCATACAATATTTAATAGCTATATACACGAACAGGTTATTAAATGTCCCGGAAAAGAACGTACACCATAAATCAAGGTGTTGTACCGTTCGATCAAACTTTTAAAACACTAATTAAGGACTACCCACACATAATCTACCTGTAGACCTGTATACTACTTGTTTACTTACTAATACTCACAGACTTTCACTTGGTGCACAAACTAATCTTAACAATCCTGCTTAAAATTTTTCTCAAATGTTTGTCAGCCATTTTGTAAACGGTCGTTCAACCTTGTGTCGTATAGTACGTCACATGCCACCAACCAAGTAAATATAATATAAACCAAAGGAAGAGATCTAAGTGTTAGTTGTACATGTATAACAATATTTACCATCATACTACCGCGTGAGTTGGCTGTCTATCGATGCATGAAGTCCCAGTGGTCATAGTATTCAGGTATCGGCCACCTTTCTACTTTAATACGTCTCATAACACCGAGACAGGGTCACAGCTGTGTGATACTTGGCGATTTATTATTACCTTGGGCTTTTGGGCTTAAAGCTATAACACACAGTGTGTCTTTAGTAAGAATGGACAATAAAGAAATACAAGTCGATTAAAGAAAAAAACAATAGCACGTCAAATCAATATTGATTAAAGGGAACCAACTCCAGTTGACATTGTATTGATGGATTTATTTTGATTGCAGTCAATACGATTCCCTGTCTCTGACCACAAAGTTTCATAGACAATGAAAATGAAATTAAATGGGAATTTTTATTAACGTCCCACGTTTCTCGGTTGGTTGGCACGTGCGCACTGTATCCTAAGGCCTGCCATTGAGTCAACTAGCGTAGTTTCGATTCCCCGGTTGTACGTGGCAAGGAGTAGGGTCGCCGGTCCAACCTCGTGGGTTTTCTCCGGGTCCCCCGATTTCCTTCCACTGCTAAAGAACCCTAGGCGCAAGATAATTATTGAAATAAATTTGAACCATATGTTAGTCCCGAAATGACCTACATGTAGTTTGTGTCGAGAGGACGTTAAACCACATCTCTCTCTCTCTCTCTCTCTCTCTCTCCTCCAACTGGGCCAATGAAGACTGGCAAACGGCATTTAGTATGCTATTTGTTCGGACAGCAATTGAATTCCAACTGTCAAGACTTCATAAAAATAATCCTTTAGTGGCATTTAGCAATTGGAAACATAACAAGACTGACACAGTTATATGGGGCAACAATCACTGGTTTATTATACACAAGCACGACGTTTCGATAAGTATTCTGTTGGCAAGACTTCGTTTACGTGCACGCCAAAATGTACACAGGACCATTTTTTCGTACTATCCGAACGCCCAGACGCTTTTCTTATCCAAGTCCTCTGTCTTGCACCTCTGGCAAGGGGAAAACATGCCGGATATACCGAGGGACTTTCTAGGGCAACACCTGGGTGAAACCCGGGACCCCCGGCTAGTGGGTCAGCGCCTTACCCACTGAGTCAGCACGGCTCCCAAAATGAAATTTGACTTACTTTTCTGTATTAATTGGGCTAATGAAGACGCCGTCATACAACAGAACATATCATATACCCACCCTTTAAACCGCCCGTTTCTCTATGTTGCTTATGTGGTGGATATTGAAAACCTTGAAGTTGCTTTTCCTGAGTTACCTTAAAAGGCCAATTTAGACAATATTTATTTCCAATGCTAAACCGGCCAATCACATTCAGTTCCTAGGTCAAATGGGAAGACCAAATCTGGACGTGTTCGACTACTCCTATGTCTCAGGTATGTATGCTAGAAATTTTGCTGGCGTGGACTTTATTACAATAGGTTGTGTCTGTCAATGGACAAGGCAGGGCACTCCAAAAGAGCATTTTTCAATATTTAAATATTTATCTTTTAATTTCAAAGTGGGTATCGAAATGAAGTAGGATCCTACTGTTCTACCCCGACTGGGCTAATAAAGACGGACATACATGCATACATCATACAGTGTGCTGTGGGGGACAGCGGCTACACGGCCTACTCTTATATTGAATTCCAACTGCCAAGGAATTTGTTATGTGCACGCGAATATGTACACGGGACATCGGTTTTTCCTCCAATCGTTAGCGAGCCAACGTCTTACTTACTGAGCCACCGTGGCTCCCCATAGTAGGTATTATCTGACTATTAAAAGACACAACAATTCTGCTCTGCCCTTGTGTCCTTTGCATTTATTTGATACCAAAAGCACACTCGGATTATTAATACGATTTCGAGTGATTAATATTTTTAGCTCCACAAAATGCTAAAGGTGTATTAAAATTCAAGAGGCCAACGAGATTATTCAAACAATTCAACGAATAAAAAGGTTTACCCATTCCATCAAGGGAAGTAACTGAGGTGCACATAATTGTTGGGATAGCTATGTGACACTGATCGATAATATTTTGAACGAATTTAAGTGAATGTGGAACAAGTAGAAAAATAGATTAAAATGGTACAACTAAAAATAAAGATTATTAAATTAAATAGCAAACGAAAAACATGTACATACATTCTTTAGACATAAATTAATCAAAATTTTACAAAAATTAGTTCATTACAAAAAGAAACCCAATATTAAATGATAATTACTTTTTAATTTTAACACAAGTACCTTTATTAACGATGCATTATGTAAGATTTAGCTAAAGAGCTGACTGTTCTAGTTATAATAATTCAAAAATGAATAATGAAAATTGAATGTATAGAAAATTTCGTTCAAAATATGAATGACTAAGTCTAGATTATCCATTTTTCAATTAAATTATTAAATGGTGATCGTGCCTCAATCCATTTAAATCTCACCCATCCGATGTTCTAGAGTTGATTATAGGATTTTCATTTATAAAACAGTTGAGGCCAAAAGAAAGACCAGCAATAAGCAGATTTAGCACTTGTATAATGCATCTTTAAATAAATATAAAAGCTAACTATAATAAAACAATACAAGTGGTAAAACACAGGCTAACTAAGCTAAATACTAAAATTCAATAATCAACCCATCTTAACAATTTGTTTTGCAGACTTGCAGAAATTAGTTCATTGTTGTGCAATATGCATAGTTCAGGATTGTGCCATTCTTTCCTTTTCAAGTCGATTGTGTACAGGTTTTTTTTTCAAAGAGAGTCGAGCCACAGAAGAAGAACAAGAACAACCAGATGAGTGGTGCCTTGGATCCAGTTCCTGTTCCACAAATAAACGTGTCTTAACAGAAAGTTGACGAAATGAAATGGACTTTAACGTCCTACCATTCTGCTCCTACTGTGTTAATGAAGACGGAGATACGCCATATTGTGTGCTACGAGGGGAATTTTACCCGGGCAGCGGCAATACGGCCTACTCTTATATCGAATTCCAACTCCCAGGGAATCTTTTACGTGCACGCCAATGTATACAACCGTCCTCGGTTTTTCGTATCATCCGAACGACTAGACAGCTGTTCTTGTCAGGCCCTCCACTGACAGTGACAAGGGGAAACCACTCCGTAAAATCCCGATGAACTTTCTCGGCCAATGCAGGAAAGTTGACATAGTGATACTTTTTGCAGTTTAGATAACTTCTGAAATGTCCACATTCTTGTGTTCATAGATAAAATTAGCTTCTGTTCTTTTTGACCTCTTTTTTCCGTCTGTTTACCCATGAAGGAAAATAACTTTATCTAAGGATAACGTAATTGATTTGGCACGAAAAATCGAGATCCCGTGTACAAGTTGGCATGTACGTAAAATTTTAAAAACAAGAAATAAAAATAAATTTAGAAATATTGCGCGTTAAAAAGGGCAAAAAAGATATGCACTTAAGAAAGGGCAAAAAATGATATACAACCGCGATCTCTAATACATCCTTTCTTCTAAAATCAGACAGGAAATAGTGTTTAATCGGAAGTTGTTTTTTTTGATGCGTATAAACCGACAGTTTCATAGTTTAAGAGCACTAAGATTTGTAAATATGTTGAGAAAGAAGGTAGTCTATTAATTTAATGCAAAAGACACGGAGTAAATATTTGTTTAGAAATAGCTGCACTAACCCTAAGTCTGGCTGTCTTGAATCAGTCCGTTAGCCCCATTAATTCGATTTAAAGGAGCTAAATTGCTAATATTTTGGGACCTAGAAATTGACACAAATGGGTCGCAACGCATATAATAATGTAATCTGATTGTATTTAAACTGATTTACATTCAATCGTTTCCGTCTTTAATCTAATTTCAAATCAGTTATGTTCGGCGAAATACGCGAGAAGTTTCAATCGAATGGCAATCGCTAGCGCCTGGTTATTCCAGTCTACAGCGGTAGTATTTATTGCGCATGCTTCCCAGATAAGAATACGGGTAACCGTTTTACATGACTTGTGGATTATGTCTAGCCTCGTTCTTCGAGCCCCTTGTTACAAATGGCGCTGAAAAAATGTCTTAAATATTAGATATCAGAAGCCATATTTTCCCGGTAAGATCACAACATCAATGTTGATTTAAATTGACAAATAATTCGTGTTTTTCCATTTCGAAGACTTTGGATGATATTGAGTTAAAGACTTAGCTACTTTAAGACATTCTACAATCAGACTTGGCTATCTCCATCGTACGATTTTACCTCTACATCTGTGCACATTAATATACTGTTTGAAGTTTTCGAGCCGATTGAGGAGGTCGGAATTTCCCATACGCCCAGTTATATACTACCAGAGATAGGTAACTGTAACCCTAACTGAGAATCTCCAATAGATAAATTTTCCCTTAACACTAACCAAGAATTTCCGTTAGATGATTGTCCCCTAACCAAGACGCCCCGATTGATGGGTTTTCCCCTAATCCTAGCCAATAATTTCCAACAGATAAATTTTCCCTTAACTCTAATCAAGAATCTCCCACGGATAAATTTCCCCTTAACCCTAGCCGAGAAGTTCCGATAGATAAATTTTCCCCTAACCAAGAATTCCCGATTGTTGAGTTTTCCCCTAACCCAAGCCAATAACTTCCAATAAATTTTTTCTAATCCTCACCCTCACCCAGAATTCCCTAATGATGTAATGATGAATTTTCCCTCAACCCCAGACAGGAATTTCAATTAGATAAAAAAATTTCCACTAACCCTAAGAATTCCCGATTGATGAGTTTTCCCATGAAACTAACAAAACTAACCGAGATTTCCCGTTTGATGAGTTTTCCCTTAAGACTATCCAAGAATTCCCGATTGATGAATTTTCCGTATGCAAAAGGACTTACTAATCCGCTGCTAAATATTTACTTTGTTCTACAAATTGCCCTGCTTAATTTGTCTTGGGAGCATACAATCAAAGAGTTCGCAGACGGCAACACACCAAACCCCTGA